TATTTAGTATTAATTTCTATACAACTTGTAATGATATTTTACTAATTATTATGCAATTGGGTTCAATCTTGTGTACATTAATTATTCAATATTTATTTATTTCATTCCACTTGTCTGGTTTAATTGTCAAAATATTATATTTATTTTATTTATATTATTTATGTTTGTTTATCTGTCTATTTGGAGTAATGAAATGTCTAAATTGTGCCTTAAACATTTCGATAAAATGTAATTGAGCAAGAAAGTATGGGGGCATTGTTAATTGCACAAATGATGTGAATCAACTGTGTTGTGAAATATATGCCTAATGACTTTTGTTATTGATGTGGAGTTTATTGGGATTGGAATGTCGGGGTCACCTATGGGTTTTGTGTAAAGACCGTTACACCAATTGGTTAATATCTTTTTGGTTCTAATTACCTTTATTAGGTTAGCCCCCGGGTATTGGGGAGATCGGGGCGCCCATCACAGTGTTAGCACCCCTACTGTTTTACCGTCAAGAGTTAACAGATTCTAAACCTCCCTAGAAGAATGGTGTTACTCACAAGTGTTCTGGGCCTTTATCGGTCGGTGTGCGTTCACCCTCTCGGACAGTCAGATTGATCGCAGCCCGCAGGGTGGCTCTGTTGTTGTAAGCGCTTGATGACTACCGATTGGAGTGGAGACCACCGGTTGCCTCCTGTTGGTAGAAGAAGAATCGCCAATCAGGAATAGAATAAACAATGAAGAGGGCTGGTCAAGTGAGGATTAGACCGGTCGGCCCAGTATGGGGGATCGGCTTCCCTGGTGCACATGTGAGAGGATGGAGCTCATGTGGGAGGGTCAGGCTCACTAGGGGTTCTGGTGACTTCCACTGACTAATGTTTCCCATACCTGTGATGTGATTATCATGAAGATAACGCAATAATTGTGAGTGCTGGTAATTTTGGCCATTTTCTTTGGGTGTGACCGGCTGCGTGAGCATTTAGCAGTCGAGGAATGACTAGATCGACTATATTTACACATTTGTGTGAACCTGGCATGTGTTCGTGTGATAATTTATTTCTGCTTAAGAAACTCACAAGTCCTGCTTTGATTTTTTTCAGGAAGTAAGTTTTTCTTTAATCCGATTTAGGCTCATGTTTTCTTCGCGCGGGCAATAGAGAAATTTCCTAATATAATTATTTCACTATGTAATTATGTGTAAAAAAGCTAATTATACAAAGAGTTAGTGATCCGCAGTGTAGGATTTTACATATATTTAATCGTGATTAACATAGAACCAAAATAATCTGTAAGCACAATATTAGAAATGTAGAGTATTGTGAAACTAGGACCCGAACTAATAGAATGCCTGTAGAAGATAAACTTGGGGGCCGAGAAATAAATATGAATATTGAAATTCATGACCGAGATAATAGATTCTAGTGTTCAAGGCTTACTACAGAGGCCTCGGGGGCCTAAGCTATACCTGGGCTAAGTGACCGGGTCCGGCCCATGGAGTCGGCGTCGTGCAACAACGCGATAAACGATATTTTTGAAAAATAGGGCCATCGCACACGCTTAGGATACGAATTACAGTAATAAGTATACATACAATTAATATTGACAAATAAATAAACAAATCATTTATAATAAATCATAAACATAAATAAATAAACATAAAATAAAAAACACTTAATTTCTTATTTCAATATAATTAGTTAAATTCTCAAAATTATTATCACTATTGAAAAATACATTAATAGTGTATACATTTTTTGATGTAGGTCATATTAGGGGTGTCAAAATAGGTCATAGCACGCGAAATACAAGAGTTAGGGTTGAGATTAAATGAGTTCGTGTCATAAACAAGTTACTTATTTATGACACGCGAACACGAGTTGCCTAATACAGAAAATAAATGGATTAAAGTTGAGGTTAAACGAGTTCATGTTATAAATGAGTCACTCATTTATGACACAAATATAAAAGTGTCATGTCACGAGTTGACATGTAGGTTAAGCGAGTGACTCATTTATTTAAGAGTAAATAGGTAATTTTAGTGTTAGATATAAATACTCCAACTAAAATCTATTTAAATTTTATTGTTATATTACTTTTTTTATATTAGTTATCAATTTTGAAGAATTTATGCATTTTATATGTGAAATTTTATTTTTAAATATGATTGGAGTTAAATAGGTTAAGATTTAAAAATATTATAAACAGATTAAGTGGGTCGTATATAAATCAACATGATCCACTTAATCTGTTTATAATATTAAGCGGGTTAAAAAATATTATAAACAGATTAAGTGGGTCGTATATAAATCAACATGATCCACTTAATCTGTTTATAATATTAAGCGGGTTACACGGGTTGTATATGGTTCCACAACCCACTTAACCTTTTTATGATATTAGGTGGGTTAAACGTGTCGTGTTCGTATCACCTGCCTAATTAATTTTCATGTCGTATTCGTGTTGATAAATTTAACACTATTTTAACACTAATTTTCATGTCGCATGTTAGGCGAATCCGTATCGAACTTAACATGCCAACTTATTTTGACAGCCCTAGGTCATACCATGTATGGCTTTTGCTATTGCATATTCTGGTAAAAGGCTTCGCAAGATACTTTAGAAGACAAATCTTAGCATTGCAACTTTTTATTTAGCATATGTTGATAAGATACAATTTTGTAATATATTTCACAATCATTTTATTATACAATTTTATTATTTTTGAATGGTGTTATAAAATATTATTTCATCGTTCTAACACTAGTAATATATAAAAGCAGAGAAGTCTATCTTAAATGACAATCAAGTTTGAGTCTCTCAAATTGCCAAGTGTAAGAATAGCAATTATTTATCATTATTGTAAGAAGATAAGTTGTTTTATATTTTCAGATAATCATATAGGAGGAAAAAAAGAAAAGAAAACTAAACTAATATTAACAAACAAAAACTATTTTAATTTGAAAATAAAAAGGAATATAAGGGAAAAGAATTCCGGTAATTTTCTCTTCAAATTAGAAGGAAAATGTAACATAAGTTTTTTCTGAAAAAAAAATTTAGTTCATTCTTATTTTTTTCTTAAATTTGGTTTCGAAAAATGTTAATATTCAACGAATTTGCCAAACCTAATTTTTTTTTCTCTGGTCATGAGTTTTTTAATCCAATAAATTCTCTCTCTGTTTAGAGTTACGCTCTTGACGAAAATTAATCATTGAAAGAATTGATTTATAATCCCAACTCTTTACTCTCTACGTTTTTCTTTCTCTATTAATTTTATTTTTCTTTTACCTCCAAACAAAATAAGTAACATAAGTGTTTTCCGAAAAAAATTTAGTTCCTTCTTATTTTTTCTAATCATTCATTAATAAAAAAAAGACATAAAAACAAATAAAAAACACTTTATTTTTTCTTGGTAATAAAAAAAATCTTAGTTGATTAGCTTGGTATATGGAGTAGTCTCATATACTATGAGTTAGGTTGTACGGACATGGGGCATGAGATATAGGAATTATGCGATATGACAATTTTTTAAAAAGTGGAACATCCACACACTTTAAATAAATATAATACATTAATATTTCAAATAAATAAACAATTATTTATAATAAATCATAAACATAAAATAAGGAAAATACATAATTTCTTACTTCAATATAATTAGTTCAAAATTATTATCACTATGCATTTTTTTATGCAGGTCATACTAGGGGTGTCAAAAGGTCATGACACGCAAATACTATTTGCCTAACAAGCAAAATAAATGGATTAGGATTGAGATTAAACGAGTTCGTACCGTAAACGAGTCACCCATTTATGACATGAATATAAACATGTTGTGTAGCGGATTGACACATAAGTTAAAAAAGTGACCCGTTTATTTAAGAGTAAAGAACTAATTTTAGTGTTAAATATAAAAACTCAACTAAAACTTGTTTAAATTTTATTAGTGTATTACTTTTTTATTTTAATTATGAATCTTGAAGAATTTATGTATTTTATGTATGAAAATTTATTTTTAAATATGATTAGAGTTAAATAGGTTAAAATCTTGAAGAATTTATGTATTTTATGTATGAAAATTTATTTTTAAATATGATTAGAGTTAAATAGGTTAAAATTTAAAAATATTATAAACAGGATAAATGCGTCGTATACAGGTCAACACGACCCACTTAACCTAAACGTGTTACATGTGTTGTATACGGGTCAACACGACCTACTTAAATTGTTTATGATATTAGACAGAATAAATGTGTCTGTCGTGCTCGTATGATCTGCCTAATTTTTGTGTCGTGTTTGTGTTGACCCTAATCGTATCACGTGTTAGGCGAATCCGTGTCGACCCTAACACGCCAACCCATTTTGATACCCCTAGGCATAGGCCATACGATATCCCTAGGCATCGGTCATACAATGTATGACTTTTGCTATTGTATATTTTGATAAGACTTCACATGATACTTAAGAAAACACATATTAGCATTGCAAATTTTTTAGCATATCTCAACAAAATATAATTTTGCAATTTTATTATGTTTAAAAATATTATAAAAAATTATTTCATCGTTTAACATTACTCACGGGCTTTAACACTACTCACGGTTTTAACACGGATATAACCAAATATCCAACTATTTATAATTTAAAAAAAAAAATTTATTTATTTGTTCAATATAGCTGTGGCATATTATACTCCATTGCATCATCTTTCAAAAAAAAAAAAAAAAAAAAAAAAAAAAAAAAAAAAAAAACTGAACATATTTTTTTTTCTCAGTATCGATTTAAAAAAACAAAAAAAAAGACTATTCGCGTTTAAATAAAAAAAAAAAAAAAAAAGACTATTCGCGTATTAAAACTATACTGAATTGAAAATTAAAAGTAGCATCTTCTTTTATATCTACTCGCTTATGGACAACGCCAGTGGAAGCATTTTCACGTAAGCAAACAAAAAATGCACGAGCCTGCAAAAAGCTGGCGTGTCCGTCTTAGTTTCTTCAATTTCACCTACCACTGTAAGTTAACTGTAAGTCTGAAACTTCAATTTTATTTATAGAAACAAAATAATGAATAATCCATGGAAGTATATAATTATAAAATGAGGTTAGATTTTTTTTGTTTTGCTGTTTCCATTTTCCAACAAGGCGGTGGACCACTTACAGACTTGTCTAAAGATCGGTATAACAACCAACAAACCAACGTAAACTTCAGTTATTATTCAACCGAATTCTTTTCTTAAGAAAAACTTGGTTATTTTAGGAAAAGGTTTGATTTCTTGAAGTGATTCTTTTCTCTACATATCTATGTTCGTCAAGAATTCGTCAATTTCAAGAAGACTCCATGTTCTTTACCCGTCTGGGCGGTCACGCATCAGGTGCCTTTGTCTGTAGTATAAGTATGGTTTCATCTTGAGATCTGCATTCAAGGTGTTGTGAAAATTTTTAGCGATTTTAATTTAGGTGGTGATGTTTAGAATTCAGAAAAGGCAACTGGGTTCCTGCTGAAGGAGCTTGAATTGAGGTAGGATTTTGACTAATTTCACTGTTTCTGCATCTTGGTACTTGCTATTTTTAGTTTTCTGCTTGTATCTTTAGTTTGGAATTCATTTTTATGTTGCATATGGGAGATGGTGCTGCTTATTTTTTTATGGATTTTGTGTTTGTGGAGAGATCTTATGTTGTTGTTAGGTTGAGTCGCTGCTGAGATTTGTTGTTTGATTGGTAAGGCAGGGTTGGTTAATCTTCATAGGAGCTTTTGATGAAAGAGCTTTGATTATACTTGTATTGGATTTTAAAATAACATTACATCTTTTAGAATTTGTAACTGCTGAATTAGTTTCTTTCCTAATTTAATTGGATAACTTTCTAAAGTTTATCGTTCTCTTAAAATTAAGGGGAGCAACCATTTTGGCTAATAAAACAAAAATCATTATCTTATTATGATTCTATTTCTTTTTATGGCATTTGATGAAACATGATTTTAGTGGATGCATATATTATCCTCACAAGGAATCAAAAGAAACCTAAGGTTTAGTTGGTTAGGCATGATGATGAAGAAAAACAAAATTTTTCCAATTCTAGTTTGCTTATTGATGCTAATGATTTTTTACAGATGGTTTTAGTCCTGCATATTTCTTTTTGAAATTAGTCCTGCATATTTAATTAATGTGTCTTAACATTTTTTTTTTTTTAAATATTGAATTCAGAACATGATTCAAGTCATTATTAACTATTAGGTGAGTTGATTTTTCAACCCTACAATTCTGAAATAGATCTTTTTACTTGCTGGAGATGCAAATATGGGGAAGATCTCTGAATACAGAGAAAGGTTGGACAGGACACTGGCATCCCCTGAACTGACAAATGATGATGCCCTTAAAACCCTTATCAGGAACCAACTCCAATCTTCTGCTAGTGAGAACGAAGGCTAGTATTTCATTGAACTTTATTTTTTGCTGCTTCAAACTTCTCGGATACGCTTATTTTAGAACTCATGTAAGCTACTAATTATGAAGAATAGTTGCATTTATCAAGTACTCTGATTTCTTACCTCTGTGTTGCAGGATGTAGTGAAAATGTAATAGAAAAAAAGACTGCTGAAGTATCTTATTTTCTTGACATGTTAAGGAGTGCTTCTGTTGGTGAGCATGGTGAATGGAAAGTAAGTACTGTTAACAAATTATTCTCTTCCCCCTCTCTCCCCTCTCTTTTTTTCCTTTTCAAATTATATTTCTGTTACTCTCTTTCTAGTGTACCTCTTCTCCCATAGAAAAGTGAGCAAATCACAATTGTTGAGAATAAGCTGATTTCGTCATTTTTTTTTCAAGCATTTTAAACTCTTGAAATTCATTCAAGTACTTCTCATTTGAAGTTTCAGTATCTCTCATACTTTCTGTGCTTAAAAGCTCTCATATTAACAGAAACTAATACACCTTCTTTATTTCCTCTTGTTCTTTTTTCTCTCTCTGTCATGTCTAAATTGATATCTTAAAGCTTTCTTCCATCAGTTAAAAGATGATAATGAAGAGTACCGTGTCATGTATCGCCAAGGACCTCATGGTAGTCCTCTTCACACGTTACTTGTTGAAGGCTATGTAGATGGACCTGTTGATGTTTGTAAGTTTAACTAAAATATACAAAAATTTAAGGCAGTATGATGCTATACATATCAGAAACTTATTTAATAACATATTTTATTCCAGGTTTATGTATCTCTTGGGAGTCATCCCTCTACAGGAAATGGTAAGAACCATATGCATCTTCAAGTATGTTTTAATTTTGTAAAGTTTCATGTCCATGGAGATGATTATTATGAGTTTATGAGATAATAAAATATATATGTTGCTATTTTTTTTTCTGTGGTGAAAATTTTATCACACCATCCGCAAGTTGTTTGAAATAGCATTTTGTTTTTCCTTTTTCTTACTTATTTATTTTGTTGCACAAAACATAGGTTTCCAACCCTGTACTGTGTATATGTTACTCTGATTATTATATTTGGAGTCCGATTCTGCATCTGCGAACAGTAAGAAAATAATACTGCTTGAGAGTTGAGACTATTGTACTAACCATAAGCTGCTATATTTGCATATCTATAGTTGCATGTTGTACTTTTGAGAGGTTTTAGAAATAGTTCTAAAAATGCCTTTGAGATTGGGTGATTATAGAATTATAGCATTTTTTTTTTTTTTTTTTTTTTTTTGGGTGAATTTAGAATTATAGCATTTTTTTTTTTTTTTTTTTTTTGCTTAATTCGTTTCATGGTTTTAATCCTAAATCCTACAACATTAAAGCATACATAAAGGATACCACAGCTATATTGGAGCACTGAGAGTTGCTGACATGGCATGTTTTTTTTTTTTTTTTTTTTTTTGCTTAATTCGTTTCATGGTTCAATCCTAAATCCTACAACATTAAAGCAATACATAAGGATACCCACAGCTATATTGGAGCATGAGAGTTGCTGACATGGCATGTTACGTCCATTGATTATCAGTAAGTGCATCAATTAGGAGGCTAAGGACTAGGAGAACAAGAATCTTAATGTTTAATCCCACTCTTAATATAGAAGGCAGTAGAGTGCATGCATACTCAAATCTTTGCTTGATTTCCTTTGTTTCTCTGCCTTTATTGCTTTCTTCCCCTTTAGGGGGGATCATCTACATCACAGACACAAATGTCTAGCATTACGTGCTTGAAATGAAAATTAATGTTTGCAAAAAATTTTTCTTGGCATATTCGTTTTAGTTTGGTGATATCTTGTTGTTTAAGTCTTTCCAGGTGGCCGCAGATCAGTTTTCCACCTTTTAAAATTACTATCTGCAAATGTTTGCAAAAAGTACGGATTGGTGAACAAATATCTTTAGTGAGGTTTGTCCAGCTTAAACTTTAGCATTGTTTTTCAAATCACTTCTTGTATTCTTTCACTTGAATCCCACAGCTTCAAATGTTGATTTTCCCTTAAATTTTGGAAGAAAGGGTGAAGATAACGTGGCCGCTATCAGCTAGGGAGGTTGTTGCACACTATTTCTTATTTGAATACCTCAAAGATGGTTTGGTTGTTGCTCTTGTAAATTCGGTTAGTCCCTTAAAATGGTGAAATTCATTGTTATTTCAGTTCCAATTTCTTTTCTAACTATTTTATTTTGGTATATCCATCTAGTGATAGATCAAAACTAAATTCTGATACTTGATTACAATATTGCTTTCAGATCTCAGATTTGGAGAGCATTGACAAAAATACTCATGGATTTACCAGGGATGGGATCCCTGACATGATGGACGTGGTAAGGATTGGCTTGGTAGGAGGTTTTGCGATACAAAAAGTCACCTCAGAAAGAAGTTACTTCCGGTGAGTGGTAGCTATTGGTCCTTTTGTGTGAGTCCTTTTGATTTTAATGGAAATTCCTCTGAGTTCACTAAATCTTAATCCTAGTGTAGTCATGTCATCAATTGCTATTATCCTTTCTCTTCTTGTTTAGTGCCATATTCTCAGTGAAGTTGTTTTAAACAAAATCTTGTTTTAATTTCTAACTAAGTTATTCATGTATTTACGTTTTCACCCCCTGAATATATAGAAGTTTGTCACTTTTCTTACTGACATATAACTGTTCATGGGCACATGGCAACCATCTGAAGCAACTTTTCCTCAATTTTCTGATGCATGGCTTCCCATCAATGTATTTGTTCCCTTCTCTGTTATTTCATGCATCGTTGATCCCTTCAAAACAAGTACTTGTATTCCTGTACTAATTGAGGACGAAGAATTCCTCAACAAAACAAAGTGCAGCCTTTCTGTGCCTACTACTGGATGAAAATGAACTCTAAATAGTTCAGTTAATTACTTTATATTAGAGAGAGATGCTAGAAAGGGGCTAAGAGGAGCTGCAAAACCTCTTTTCCTTCTAGCTCCAGAAGCATCCCTGCCTTGAGAAACTTATTCTCATTTGATCCAAGAGTTGTTGCTCTCTTTGTAGACAAACCTGAGTAGGACAAAATAACAGGCCAATACTCCTCAGAAGGAGCGGTCGCACAAGCAGTTGATCATAATTGGAAATATCTACCATACCAATTGTTTTCATGTATTGCAAATCTAAATCCAAAAGAAAGTTTGAATTTTGTAATAAAATCTGAGTTGGTTTTCGGATGATGCATAGTTGAATCTAAAGTCTGTCCAATAATGGTTCCATGGTTAATCTAATTGCTTGGATGTGCACAGATTAAGAAAATATTTAATTAGGAATATTTAGATATCCTGCAGGAATCGATGTATATTGTTGTTTTATGTGGAGTGAAAGGTTTTTATTTCATCTTATGTAAAAAATGGTTAACATCTATTTATGCATAGGAAGTATATGGAAATACCTATGCTACCCTTTACACATAAGATTCAATAAATAGCACATAAAACTCTACAAGACAACATACATATATGTCCATCTTAATAGAATATGAATAGCCTGTAGAGTTGTTATCTTGTGGAATGATTATTTACTTGAGCTTCTTTGCATTAAAACTAGCCTACATTATTTCCTATTTGTTAGTTTGGTTTTAAAGTTTCAGCGAAAGCAAGGACGTTAGATGAAGAAAATTAACTAATCAGAAAGAGCATGTAAAAAAGTTGAAAGAAGAAATTCGTCAATTTTTAACTTATGCTATTTCATTTTTTTATAACTTTTGTATAACTATGAATGCTCTCAAATTTTCTAGGACTATTGCAACTATGGATATGAAACTGGACTTTGTCCCTCCATCCCTTATAAACTTTGTCTCCAGGCAGCTTATTGGCAGTGGTTTCAGACTCTATCAAAAGGTTGTATATTTCTCCCTCTCTCTTCCTTTATTAATTACTATTTTTTTTTCAGTGACGTGCATTGCATGTTGCCATTGCTCATTAATAACTCGTTGGTTATATTCTTTTAATAAACACTCAATCAAATTGTAGAAAAATAAAAAATTCAAAAAATATATTTATTATTAATTTTATGGTGGTTTAGGATATCTCTAATATTACTAAGGATATTTTTGAAAATCCATTTATTCCCCTCATTCCCACATTCATATATGTTATAGATATAGATTTGGTTTGAGATAATTTTTGTGTGCAAGATACTATGCAACTAAATGAGTCCAACTCATTTAGTTGTTTAAAGGTTTAAGGCTCTTCTTGGTATCAATAAAATAGCTCCTCTAGAAGCAGTCTTATGTTCAAGCTGCAATGTCAGAAGTGTTACCTTTGATTTCTATATTTTCCCTACATAGATACGACAGGTATGAAACTAAATGAAGTTTAACTCACTAGGTAGATTAGGTTCTGCATCTGATGGTTCATGCATGACGACTCATGATCCTTCCTTGCATTCTCATACATGTGTGATTCCAGTTCATTGTTCAACGTTTTTCACTGACTTCCAATATCTAAACTACTACAGGCCGTGGCTTCTGTGTCCAGCTATGATGAAGATTACAAAAAAGCTTTGGAGGATCCAATGTATGCTCGAATTCGTGAGGCTCTTTATTCTGTTGATGATCCTAATGAGACTATGAAAGGGAAAGAACTCAGGAATGGTGTTTGCCTTCTGCCACAAGATCATTCTACAAAAGATGTGCAGAAAAGCTTGGGCGATATGGAACGGAATATTCACGTAGGTGACTCTGCAAGTGATTCTTTGCTAGATAATGAACAAGTTACAGACAAGGAAGGTTCTTGTGAGATTGAAGAAGAGGAGAGGGAAGAAAATAGACACTTGAGGGATGAAATCAAGGATACAGAACAGGCTGTAGATTGTAATGACCATGTAATTGAAATTTTGCAAAATACTGCAGATTCTAGGGATAGGAAAACATTTGGTGAAATTGTGGAAGAAGAGAGTGATGATAGTGTAGAATTAGAGAATGGAGACAAAAGTATAGATCAACCCTTAACCTATAAAGCTGCACATGATAGTCCTGTGAACTATAAAACAAATGTTCTTCTTAGTCCTCAGGTGGAACGAGCTTTAGCAACTCTTGAGAAGGCTATTTCGTTGGTTCGGGAAAGTGGACTTAATAGTCTAGCTGGGAATTCCTCTGGCTTAACCGGAGTTGATGCTCCAAATCTACAAAAGGGTGCAGAAAAGGATTTGACTTCTGCAGAACATAGTGCATCATCTTCAGATACTGAGTTCTCTGTTGACATAACCGAAAAAGGAAAAATAGTGGAGAGGACTTCACATGAATCCAGGAATAGCTCCAACAATTATGGTGTCAGGTACCTTACGTTAATACATTCCTCTCGTAATCATATTAGTGATGATGACTCTGATTATATGAATTCCGTGTTCTCAAATATTTTAGATCTGAATCATTACAGTTTTCTCCACTTGTATTTTGTTCTCCACTTCAATATGGTTTAACAAAGGTTTCATTCTCGTAACAAATTGTATGTCATCTGTTTTCCAATTAGAAATGAAAAAGGAAAGAAGAGAACTCTTACTCTCCTCTTTCCACTTCCTATATTCGAGTAGTTGCTTCATCTCTCTCTTTCTCTCTCTTTTCATTTCATTTTTTTGGAACATAGGAAATCCCTAAAGGGGATTGGTGCTGCTAGCGTTTGATCCTTTGGCTTCGCACACAATAAGGTAGACTTTCAAGCACTGAGCTATAGGTCCATTGGCAGCACATCGCTTCTTAATTTTCTTTTCCTTTTAGTGGAAAATGGTTGAATTGCTTTTCTGTTGACTGCGCTTGAGAATGTGACCTTGAAGCAGTTACTTTCTTTCACTTTCTGCTTCCTGGAAAGCGAGGGTGGAAGAATGTGTAATTTTTTTCACCATATCTGTTTTGACGTCCTTAGTTGCAAACAGTTTAATTTGATTACTGGTTTGATCTTATTTAGCAGGCGCGAAGGATCAGATTCTTGCAACAGGGAAGTGAACCATAACAAGATAGCACCAGCATCATCAGAACAATATTTTTCAATTCCTAGTGAAAGCAACCAAGTCTTGGGTTCTTCCGAAGATGGGATCGCAGACCTACCAAATATAGACGTAATGTCGCAGGAGAATAAGCAAATGAACATTGAGGTAAATGGCATCCATGAAAATAGATTGCAAGAAAAGAAACAATCGAGTCGGAAGAAAAACAATAAGTTGTGTTGCTTTGGTCTCCAATGCCGGTAAGTGATACCTTGAGAAGGAAGAAATTAAGAATAGCAAAGAGAACTTCAAAACATAATTTGGAGCCTCCATATATAACTCCAGAAGTGGATTTGCGGTATGCTTAAACAGAGATTACTTTGCATATAGATTACTGTTGTGTGTTGTAATATTATATTATATTCTGTATATCTGTGCTTTTAATTAAATCTTAAATTTTGTATTTTTTTCACAAAGATTTCACAGTTGGTTGTATACCTGAGGCTGATATTTTGCCATGTAAAATTTTGAGTCTAACAAAGAACTGTAAATTTTATTTGGCACTGTTTTCTTTCCTCCTTGTATCTCAGGGATTTTGTCTGGTGCTTACTGGTTTGAACTAGTAAGGACTTATAACAATATTCAAATGAACTATAAAACCGTTGAAAAAATTAAGGATGAAGTTACTGTAAGCTCCACCTCATATGACATCAACCATTAGATTTTAAGATTAATATTTCGGGTATCAAGATTTCGGATTTTATGTTAAAGAAATGTCTAAGCTATTATTTTCTTATCAAAGAGTAATTTGACTGGTCTTCTATTCTTTATTCTCGGTAGCGTTTTCTCTTCAATTTAGATTAAATTACTAGAAAATTAATAATTTTGAATAAACTAACGGAGGAAACTGGCTTTATAGTGAAAATGAGAAAAAATGGGCAATTTTCCAAATTCAAATTAAGTTACTCCCACCAGGCCAAACACAATTCTCTTTCCTTCCCTTGACAGTTGCCACTCGCTTTGCGAAAACGCAGCAACAAAATGTTGAAAGCAAAGGAGCTCTGGACACCTCTGTCGACAATTCTTCGACGCAGAGCTCTGCTTTTGACGGCACGTTGTTTCCTATCCGATCATTCTATCTCTACTCCACGAATCTACTCTTCGTACTCCAACGCTAGAAATTCTAGGTGTTTCTTTAGCTCAAGTAAAAACCACTTTCTAGGGAATTCTCTCAAATTTTCCGGGAAAAACTTCTGCTCAGAATCTTCTAAGAAAGTTAATGCTACTTGCTGGAACTGCAATGCCCATCCACAACAGTCTCCGTTTCTGGTTTGCGAGTCGTGTAGAGCTATCCAGCCAGTTGATCAGTCTATCGATTACTTCCAGATTTTTTGGCTGTAAAGATTTTACCCTTTTTTCGTTTTTAATTTCTGGTCAATTAAAAAAAAAAAAGAGCTTGAAAAGCTTGACGTTGTGAACAGGGAGAAGAAATATGAAATAAAGGATGAGAATTTGGAGGGTAAGTACAAAGATTGGCAGAAAAAATTGCATCCTGATTTAGTTCATTCAAAATCTCAGGTCCAATCCTAATCTGTCTTCGTAAAAAACGAATTTCTTTTACTTTATTTCTTTTCTAAATTTAATTATTTTCTTATATGGTTTCTCTCCAGAAAGAGAGAGAGTTTGCAGCGGAACAGTCTGCTCGGATTATAGATGCGTACAGAACTCTTAGCAATCCCCGGTTACGGGCGATATACATTGTAAAGCATATCTTCTTGCTTCTGTCTATTGATTTTTACAGAAATTATGTTAGTAGGATGCTTCTTGATTTCAAATATTGTTATTTACACTTGACATCTTGACCTTTGTGTGCGCGCAGCGTGTGTGTTTTGTTTTCCCATTTCATTTCCATTTTCTGGTTTTTTGAACAAAATCTTTTCCCAAGCAATTATTCATTCCTAGTCGTGCTAAAGATTCATAATCCTTTAATTTGTTTATTATTATTTTTTTGAATTCTGATTTTTGGACCTTTTTCAATAATGGGGATGCTTTTTCTAGTTTTTCAGTGAACAATTGGATTATCATGGAATGGGCTCAACACCACCTTATGTAATTGCATTTAGTTTATTGAATGATTGCCAAGGGTTATGACCTTCCTAGGTATGTACTTAATTTGGTATAAAATTTAGATGGATGGCAGAAGCCATCAGGCCTAGTAGATGCAGATGGTAAAGAAATGCTATAATGCACAAGACAATGAAATGGACCTCTGTGTTGATAGTTGATGTAGATAGTGATTCACTTTGCTTTATGGAGTATGGACCCTGTCATTCTGTGAATTTCTTGATAGACTTTCTTAATTATGCAATCCGTCAATGCCTACTCTTTTTTTTTGTTCATTCTTTTTTTCTCAGTTACCTTGTTGTATTAGTTATCCTATTTTATAATATTTATACGATTGAGTTTTTTTCTCCCTTTCAGCTAAAGCTTGAAGGGGTCGATGTCAATGAAGAAGAAACCATTACAGAGCCACAGTTGTTAGCTGAGGTATGTTCTAAGAGTTTGGTTAGGCTTACTTCCAAATAAAATATATGCGTCAGAAATTTAGTTTTTATGTAAATCAAAACTTCATTCAATTTCTTGTTTCCATAAATCACTTGAACTATGATGGCGGTTTTATTTCTTGTTTTACATTATTTTTTTTGTGAATACACATTGATAAATTTTGGAATACAGGTGCGTCTTCCAGACTATCAAAATTATCATATGTAATCAAAAATAGTTAAGAAATATTTTGAGGGTTGTGGCTATTGTGGCAGTGGAGATTGCACTTGTAGACTGTAGTGGTATAGTGGTGTGTTTGCTGTGGAGATCAAAGTAGTATAGTAAGATGGCCGATTCTTTGGTGTGATTTCTTTTTCTTCCTTCAAATAGTGCTTCTTATTGTTATGATGCTATAATAAGCATGACCTGTTTTCAGAAACCAAATTGATCTTTTTATAGTCATTTTTTACATTGCAACTTGTTTTTCATTGTGAATTGACTTCCATTGATTTCTAGCATATGCTGTAATATTTTTCCATGATTACCCATTGTTTTTCAAGGAGTTCATAAAGGTTTGTAGATTTTTCTCCCAGTACCTTTTCCTGATCTCAGAAGAAGGAACTGTAATACTTTATATATGCAGATTATGGAAATCAGGGAAGCGGTTGAAGAGGCTCCCAACACTGAGGCTTTAACTGATATTCAATCTCAGGTATGGCTCTTTCTTGGAGCATGTGCTGCGAGAAAATGAATTGGTGAAATTGTGTGTCAGAGGATTGAAAGTTAAAATTATGCAAATTGAAAGAAGAATTTGAGTGGGGTTCTGCAGGATTGTTTCTTGTATATGGTTCACATGCTAGAATGTGGTCTGACTGCTGATTGTTGCTATAATTTCCTGGTGGATAACACAGACCCTTGTTGAGCTTTTATAAACCATCCTCCTCCTCCTCCTCTTCTTTATTATTTTCTAAAGACTGGTATGATTAATGGGTAATCATGGCTATTTTAAAGATTTTAAGACAGTTAAAAATCATCAGGGCCCCAGTTTCTTTGAAATTTGCAAGTGTGCCATGCAGCAATTAAAACATTTTAGTTTAATTTTTGGTTTTGTTTATGCAGATGAGAGAAAAATTGCAATATTGGTCTGATTCCTTTGCAAATGCTTTTCAAAGCCACAAATTTGAAGAGGCTATAACTTGCATTCGGAGAATGACTTACTATGATCGTGTAAATGAAGAAATTGTGAAGAGGCTTTAGGAAGGTAGTCTCCAAGTTGTTTTTTTTTTTTTTTCAAGTATTAATAATAGGAAAAATGAGTTATGTTGGAAAATCATTGCAGCACGTATATTCAAGGAAGAACTCTTCTTTTCTTCGAAATGTTGCCACCTTCAATTAAAATGGGTTTTTGTCCTTGGGTTAGGTTATGTCAAGGGGATGGATAAGTCAATTTTCTGGCAGTAACAGCATACTTGAACACTGAACATCTTCACTACAGAATGTATTTTGAATATCTGAAGTTGTACCTCCTCTAATTTCAGAGAATAAGTTGAGAGCTTGAGATAGACTCTATATGTTTATGCTTTCTGTGACATTGAATTCTTTTCTCAAATGAGCTCTGCATTAAATAATGATAAGAAAATTGAACAAAAGAACAAAGGTGAAAATAAGTTTCGTTCTTTCTTTCAGTAGCATAATACACTTCTGCAAGCCAAATTCATCATCTTGAAAAACCAATATCTTTATCAATCTTTACTAACATTTTCAGGCTCACGATGTGCTAGAACTCATTTTGGCAGTTAGCCAAGTTATCACATAGAGGATTCATGGTCAATGAATTACAGGTATTTATACTCCATTTGCAGGCAAAAATTTGTAATTTTTAGTGGACATTTATAAACTAGCTTACCTAGTTACTTGAGATTGTCTTTCATTTCAGCCTTCCAAAATGTATGATTACATTTAAATTAGTGATCTTCCATTTGAACTTTGTGTTGCAATTCTCAGTTTGAGGAATGGCCTTAAATGGGATTGGTGTCAAGAATTTGAAATGTGATTTATTTCCTGTGGGAATATATAGGACTCTGCTTAATCAAAGTCCCTACCCCTTTGTTCTGAAACTCAAAATTTGTAAGAATTGAACTGAATGGCATGAGTTTTGATAGTTGACAATGCCTGAATTCTTTTAAGTTTAAAAAATAAGTCATTTTGAAAATGAAGAAGTCATGCCATTTGAAACTGGTGTTTTGATCATTGACTGCTTGCTTCCTATTTATCTTTTTCAGGTAGAAGGTGGTGTAAAACCCGGTTTGAGACTGCCTGCCACAGTATAGTATTAAACCAGAAATATTTGGAGAAAATACAAGCCAATACTTGAGAGGTGTTTTGCCATCATGTTTGGCTTGCATCACCTGCAGTTCTCAACTTGAAATTTTCAGCTTCAGATTTGTTTTCATTAAATAAAGTAGGATGACACAATACCGGACAATATTGTCCTAACTGAAGCTATATTTGTTAAGTGCTTCGTTGAGTCATTAGAAAATTGTCTTTTTTCCAGTTTATCGCAATTTTTTAAACCCTTTATGAGAATTTTTAGCTTATATTTATATTATGGTTGTGTTAAAGGTAAAATTGCTTTTTAGAGCAAACATGTGATGTTTAATTTGGAGAAAAATATTTTGTATATTCAAGTAATTCAGATGACCTTTTAAAAATGAAATTAACCAAGAGACACTGTCACTTGTTATGATTATGAAAGGAGTGGCATACAAAGGACAAGCATTTACAAGTTCAAATCTGTGAGCAGTTTGATTTGTCCAAAGAGTAGCATACTGTGGTCTGTTGAATAACATCTTTTGTAAAAAAAAAAAAAAAAGGGAAAGGTATTTAATAATATAAAAAAAAAAAAAAAAGGGAATATACGTATATAATAATAATAATAATAATAATAATAATAGTCATATAATTTAATAAAGAAACAAATTACGAGCTTTTTGAATTTTTTCTTTTCATGATTTCAATCAGGAAGTGTTGGTTTTGGTTTTATTCTAGTTTAGAAAAAAAAAAATGAAACACTGGAGCTTTTAATGCCTAGTATCGGTTAAAGTTTGGAACCAGAAGCTCTCATTTATAAACTACTTTGTTAAAACAAAAAATACAATGACAATATGTAATAGTGGTACAGGTTTCTGTTGGTGCTAGTTAAAATCTCTGAAGTTCCTGAGGTGATGAGGCACATAATCAGACTCCCATTTTTGTGTTCAAACTCAAGCTATAAGCTTGTTGGATCTCAATTTTCCACGCAAAAAATTTCCCGCTGTTCAAGCGTCGCTAAATCGTCTAAAGTCTCTCGTTCAAAGAAAACCCAGTTGCAGTCTCAAGCAGAAAATGGTAATGTCAATTCCCTCTTCAAGGAGATTACCGAAATTTTTGGAGCTGGCGATATAATTCCTAATAGAACCCCATCTGGAATCTTAATGTCGAAAGAATGCCATAGGAGGAGTAATGAATTGAATGAAGAATTAAAGTCTTGCACAAAAGGTGTTTGTGGAAATGTCGAGCTGAACAATGTGTTGCAAGGCAAGGAGAGTTTATTGGCTTTGGACGATAACCAGATTAGAAATTCGGATGATATTGATGTTAGTCCTCTAGTTCATGAAATTACCGGGATTGTACGAGAAGAAAATGGCACAGTTTCCATGGAGGAGAGGTTAGAGAGTCTAAAGTTTCGGTTTGAACCAGATATTGTTGAGAAAGTATTGACACGATGCTTTAAAGTGCCACATTTAGCTTTTAGATTTTTCAATTGGGTTAAAATGAAAGATGGTTTTTGTCACACTACTAAGATTTATAATTCCTTGCTGTATATAGCTGGGGAAGCGAAAGAATTTAAGGTAGTGGATGATTTGGTGGAGGAAATGGAGAACTTATGCAAGATGGATATTAGAACTTGGACTATTCTTATCTCACAGTTACGGAAGGTGAAACTTATTGGCAAAGCTTTGTTGTTCTTTGAGAAGATGAAGAAATCTGGGTTTGAACCTGATGAAAAAATTTACAAAATTATGGTTCATCTGCTTTGTGAGGGCGGGAAAGGTGAGATTGCCTTGGAACTCTATAAGGAGATGATTCAAAGGGATATGAAACTTGATTTAAGTTCGTATAAGGTGTTATTAAATAGCATGGCAAAGTTAGGAGATGTTGGTGCTGTTAACTTGATTGCAGATGACATGATTAGGGTTTCCCAAATCTCAGAGCCTGATGTTCTTGTTTGTATGCTGAAGAGCTTTTGTGTGGCTGGGAGAATTAGAGAAGCTTTAGCATTGATTCGTGACCTCAAGAGTAAAGAGATATCAATTGACTATGAATATTTTGAGATCTTAGTGAAAGGACTCTGCAGGGCTGGTAGGATTGCAGATGCTATGGAAATTATTGAAATTATGAAGAAAAGAAATTTTGTTGATGCAAAGGTTTATGGGATTATCATCAATGGGTACCTGAGGAGAAAAGAACTTTCGAAGGCACTTGAGCTATTTCAATGCATGAAAGAATCTGGATGCCAACCAACTACTTCCACCTATACAGAGTTAATGCAACACCTGTTCAACTTGAATCAGTATAAAAAAGGATTGGAGCTGTATAATGAGATGCTGGAAAGAGGAATTAAGACAGATAGTGTAGCAATCATGGCAGTTGTTGCTGGTCATGTTCGTCAAAACCATATATCAGAAGCGTGGGAAGCATTCAATACCATGGAGGCTGAGGGAATCAATCCCACTTGGAAATCTTATTCCATATTTATCAAGGAGCTTTGCAAAGTTTCAAGAACAGATGACATTTTGAAGGTTTTGTACAAAATGCAGGCTTCCAAGATATTCATTAATGATGAAATTTTCAAGTGGGTTATAGCTTGTTTGGAGAAGAAGGGAGAGATGGACAATGTTCAAATAGTGAAGCAGATGCAAAGAATCCATACACTTGACTCTATAGAAGACAAGGTTTCCAGGGAACAGAAGCTGCAGGTGGAACAAAACCATAACCAATCAGAGCCCTTGATAGATCATCAATTGTTGAAGCCACTTCCAAAGGGTTACAATGGGCAAGATTTGCAAGAAATTTGTCGGATATTATCATCCTCAGATGATTGGTGCATGAAGCGAGAAGCTTTGGAGAAATGCACTGTTCAATTCACACCAGAACTAGTTTTGGGGGTGTTGCGTAATTGCAGCATGCACGGCAATGCAGCATTACATTTATTTTCATGGGTAGGAATGCAAACTGGATATCACCACACAACAGAAACATACAACATGGCTATGAAAATTGCGGGACGTGGGAAAGATTTCAAACACATGAGAAGCCTTTTTTATGAAATGAGAAGAAAGGGCTGCCTAATAACACCAGATACATGGTCAATCATGATAATGCAATATGGTCGAACTGGTCTAACAGAAATTGCTCTAAAGATTTTCCATGAGATGAAAAATGATGGTTGCAAACCAACTGGTAGTACCTACAAATATTTGATCATCTGCCTTTGTGGGAGAAAAGGTAGGAAAGTTGATGAAGCCATTAAAATATTCGAGGAGATGATTCGTGCAGAATATATCCCTGACAGGGAAGTGGTGGAAACATATCTGTGTTGTTTATGTGAATCTGGTAAACTGTTAGAAGCAAGAAGGAGCATAGATTCTCTGTGTAAAGTTGGTTTCACAGTTCCCCTTAGTTATTCCTTGCACATTAGGGCTCTTTGTCGAGCAGGAAGGTTGGAAGAAGCTTTATCATTGCTCGATGAGGTTGGGGGAGAACGAGCTACATTGGATCAATATGCCTATGGAACCCTTGTCCATGGACTACTTCGAGAGGGACGACAAGAACAGGCATTGGCCAAGGTGAATTCCATGAAACAGGCAGGCATTCAACCGACCGTCCATGTATACACATCTTTAATAGTTCATTTCTTTAAGGAGAAGCAAATTGAAAAAGCTATGGAAATTTTTCAGGAAATGCAACAGGAGGGCTGTGAACCGACGATTGTTACACATTCGGCATTGATTCGCGGTTATATGAACATGGGGAGAGTTGATGATGCTTGGAATGTCTTTAATTGTCTTAAACTGAAAGGACCTCTACCTGATTTCAAGACCTACTCAATGTTCATTTCATGTCTTTGTAAAGCAGGTAAATCTGAAGAAGCCTTGCGGCTTATATCGGAAATGCTGGATGCTGGGATTATTCCTAGTACTATTAATTTCAGAACTGTCTTTTATGGCTTAAACAGAGAAGGTAAATATGATTTAGCTCGGACTGTATTACAGCAGAAATTGACTTTAAGAAGTAAACGCAAGTTCTTAACATAATTTCTATTTCTTGTTTCTTAATTGCTTGTATGTTCTACTTATTGCAATGAAATAGATGAAATTAAAGAAAATCTACCTTATTTTTTCTTGAGAATTAATCTGAACTAAAAGCCCTTCTAAAATACGTAAGGATTAATATCCTCTCAAGGATTAATACCAAAATTTACTGACCAATCAGTAATCTTAAATCGACTAGTTAGAGTTTATATTTGTCAAATGCTTGCTGTTACTGTCTTAAGTTTAGAGTATTTATATACACCATTTACAAAATAAAATAGATAATTTTACATTATTGAAAAAGAGAAATTTGAATGCTGCATTTAATTTTTATTGGTTGATGGGTCTAAAGTGGAAGATTTATGGTTTGGTGAAATGAAAAGTCTACTTCTATACATTTCTCATTGCTTATTCTATTAAGTATTATCAATTCAAACAAAGGCCATAGTAATGGCTTCTTTAGCATCCATTTTTGACCAAAATATAATGATTTTAAATAGTTAAATTAATGTATTAGAGTTGTATGAACAGATGGATCCATTTATAACATAAATTCATATCACTGTAGGACCATGTAATTTTACAATGAGTATAATTTTCAAAAAAAAAAAAAAAAAAAAATTTATTGCAATGAAATAGATGGAAATTAAAGAAATCTACCCTTATTATTTCTTGAGAATTAATTCTGAACTAAAAGCCCGTCTAAAATACGTAAGGATTAATTCCCTCTCAAGGATTAATACCAAAATTACTGAACCAATCGTAATCTTAAATCGATCTAGTTAGGTTATATTTGTCATAATGCTTTGCTGTTACTGTCTTAAGTTTTAGAGAGTATTTTTATACACCATTTTACAAAATAAAATAGATGTAATTTTACATTATTGAAAAGAGAAAATTTGAATGTGCATTTAATTTTTATTGGTCTGAGGGTCTAAAGTGGAGATTATATGTTTGGTGAAATGAAAAGTCTACTTCTATTACATTTCTCATTGCTTATTCTATTTAAAGTATATCAATTCAAAACAACGGGCCATAGTAATGGCTTTCTTTAGCATCCAATTTTTGACCAAATATATGATTTAAATAGCTTAAATTCAATGTCATTAGGTTGTTATGAAACATATGCGATCCATTTATAACATTAAATTCATATCACTGTAGGACCATGTAATTTACAATGAGTTATAAATTTTCAAAAAAAAACAAAAAAAAAAAAATTAAAATAATTTGAATTTTGGAGTATTTATAATTTTAAAAAGGTAATTTTAAAAACTAACGTTAAATTTTAAAATGTTTAAATTTCATAAAAGTTCTTAACCTTTAAAACCATAAAAGATATTATAAAAACATATGTTATCGAACACTAGGGTAAGTTAGCTTAAAAATTATTACCAAATTATGATTTAATATTTTATATTAACCCAATTCTATAATTGTGATTCGTATCAACCCAAACCCAATACAAGTCATAACCCACAAACCTGTTTTTGACATCTCTGATTTTATGCTCACAGTTATGTTTGGCCATTTTATTTATTTATTTATTCCACTTTTTAGTTAATAAAAAGTAATTCCTTACTGCTTGAATAGAAACATTTATTTATGGGAATGCCTTCTATTTTTTTATGAGAGAATTGAGTGGCTAACACTATCAAAAATACAATTGAATTTAAATTAAATAATTATAAAAGATTCATGGAGTGATATTCAAATAACATATTTTGACTACCACTCATGAATCTATTTTATAATACTTAATTTTTTAAATTCACATTATATATTTGATAGTGTTAGCCCACTAATCTCTCTCATAAAAAATGAAGGCTTCCCCATAAATAACATGTTCTTATTTTCAAAGCAAGTAAGAACATTTTTTATGGGAAGCCTTCTATTTTTTATCGAGAGGGAATTAGTGGCTAACACTATCAAATATATAATTGGAAGTTAAATTAAATAAATTTTGATAAATAGATTCATTGAGTGTATCAAAATATGTTATTTGATATCACTCATGATCTATTTTATAATTATTTAATTAATCAATGTATATATTTGATTAGTGTTAGCCACTAACTTCTCTCATAAAAACATAGAAGGCTTTCCCCATAAATTAATGTTCTTATTCAAGCAAGTAAGATTTTATTATTGGGGGAGCCTTCTATTTTTATGAGGAGAATTGTGGCTAACACTATCAAATATATATTGAATTTAAATTACAATAATTATAAATAGATTTCATGGGACAAAAAGTGATTATCAAATAACATATCTTTGATACTCATGAATCTATTTATAATTTTATTAATTTAAATTCAACTTATATATTTCGATAGTGTTAGCCACTATTCTCTCATAAAAAATTAGAAGGCTTCCCCATAAATAAAATGTTTCTTTACTTGCTTGAATAAAGAACATTTTATTTATGGGAAAGCCTTCTATTTTATGAGAGAATTAGTGGCTAACACTTTCAACTATATGAATTGAATTTTAATTAAATATTTTGATCAGTGTTAGCCACTAATTCTCTCATAAAAAAAATAGAAAAGGCTTCCCCATAAATAAATGTTCTTATTCAAGCAAGTAAGAACATTTATTTATGGGAAGCCTATCTATTTTTATGAGGAATTAGTGTGCTAACACTATCAAATATATAAATTGAATTTAACATATAAATAAATTATAAATAGATTCATTGAGCTGTTATCAAAATACTGTTATTTTGATATCACTCATGAATCTATTATAATTATTTAATTAAATTCAAGTATATATTTGATAGGTTAGCACTAATTCTTCACAAAAAATAGAAGGCTTCCCATAAATAAATTCTTACTTGGCTTGAATTAAAGAACCATCTTATTTTTTATGGGGAAGCCTTTATTTTAATCGAGGTTAGTGGCCTAACACTATCAAATATATAATCTGAATTTAAAATTTAAATAATTATAAATTTAGATTCATGAGTGAAAAAAAAAAAAAAAAAAAAAATTAAAATAATTGAATTTGGAGGTATTTATATTTTAAAAAGTAATTAAAAACTAAACGTTAAATTTTAAAATGTTTAACATTTCATAAAAGTTCCTTAACCTTTAAACCTATAAAAGATATTATAAAAACTATGTTATCGAACACTAGGGTAAGTTAGCTAAAAAATTATTACCAAATTATGATCTTAATATTTATATTAACCCAATCTTATAATTGTATCGTATCAACCCAACCCAATACAGTCATAACCCACAAACACGTTTTTGACATCTCTGATTTTATGCTCACAGTATGTTTGCATTTTATTTATTTATTTTATTCACTTTTAGTTAATAAAAAGTAAATTCTTACTTGCTTGAATAAGAACATTTATTTATGGGGAAGCCTTCTATTTTTTATGAGAGAATTAGTGGCTAACACTATCAAATATATAATTGAATTTAAATTAAATAATTATAAATAGATTCATGAGTGATATCAAATAACATATTTTGATACAACAATAAACATGATCGTCTATTCACACTTAATTATTTTGATACAACAATAATAATTATAAACTCTTAAAAATATTAACCTATTCATAAAATATTTACCTATTCACACTTTTTTATATATATTTTTTTAAAAATTGTCTTTCGAGAAAAATATTTACATTTATCTACAATCACACAGTTTCTTATCACAACAAAATCTCTATTTTTTATCCATTTAATCTCAAATGAATACCTAATTTTCATTTATATATATTATCCATTTTTAAAAGATAAAAGATTTTCGAATTTCAAATTCTAATCTCATTAGTAATTATTTTGATTATCTCCCAAGTAGTTTTTTTTTTTTCTAAATAATATATTATAAATAAGTTAAGTTTTTTGGTATTAATTTGGTTACGTCCATTTTGCAATTGCACGTAGAGTTAACAGAGCAAAGCTGGCCAATTCGGCAACGACGGCCGAAGTAAATTTGAATTATTTTAATATTTTTTAATAACAATGCGTATTAAAAATAACAAATAAATAAATAAAACGCGTTTTGAAACTTTCCAACGGAAAAACCGGTCTCATCTTCTTCCCACCACCCTCTTTCTTTTTCATATCTCGCTTTCCCTCATTTTCTTTCCATTTCCCTTTCGTTTTCCTTTTCTAATGCCAGGAAAATGAGGGAAAATCTTTTTCTACATTATTAATTTCCTTATACGTCAAAAAACCCAGTTAAACCCGAAAGCAAATCCGAATCTTTATCAACTTTGTTTTCCTATATGGAAAATTCCTGGTAAAGATAAAACAACAATTCTGGATTAACATCTTGACGTTGACTCTGTCTCCTCTTCTTGATTTCTTCTTCTCCGTCTCTTTTCAATTTTTCTTTTTGTTTTTCATTATTCCAAGCTATCACCCTATTTTTTATATACATATCTTTCGTATTAGTTGTTGAATTTTTCAATTTTAAAGATTGTTTATAATACAGGAGTTTCATTGAGTTTTCTTGTAATAAAAATTGATTGAAAAAAAAAATTGTGGTTTTTGGCGAGAGAGAGTTATAAGGCTTTTTATTGATTTTATTATTTTAATCTTTTTGTTTGATATATAGTTAAAGCTGTATTTATTAGATTGGAGGAGTTTGTGATTGGAGATATAGTTAAAAGGGTTTGAATTCGATGTGTTCACTTCAAAATCAACTACCCTTTACCAAGAAAACAAATGGGATTTTCTCAAACCTTTGACAGAGAAAAGAAGCAGAAGAAAAGATTGTAGTTTTAATTCAAATGGGAAATATTTGTGTTGGAGGAACAGCAACAACAAAAGCTTCACCACATCCAGTTTGGTGGCTAAGGCCATCAACAGATTGCACAAATTGCTTCTTCTTTACTAAATATTCCAAGAAAGAAGGAGAAGCGATTAAAGAAGAAGAAGCAATTAAAGAATTGCACCTTACAGATTCAAAAGACCAAGAATCTCCTTTACAAGTTCAAACCAAGCCGCCAGAGCAAGTCAAGATAATTGAAAAAGATGTTATCATTAGCCAACCACCAAAACATGAAGAACAGTCACCATTGCCACCGGAACCGATAGCAAACCCCAAACAAACGACAACGCCAACACAAACACAAGAACCAAAACCTGCAGTTCCTTCAAAACCAAGAAAGCCTCATAATGTAACAAGACTATGCAGCGCAGGGCTAAAAGCAGAATCGGTGTTGAAAACAAAAACAGGCCATTTAAAAGAGTACTATAACTTAGGAAGAAAGCTTGGAAATGGACAATTTGGTACCACATTTCTTTGCATAGAGAAAGGGACAGGAAAAGAGTATGCATGTAAGTCTATTGCAAAAAGAAAATTAGCCACACCAGAAGATGTAGAGGATGTGCGAAGAGAAATTGAAATAATGCACCATTTGTCGGGGCATTCGAATGTTGTTACGATTAAGGGAGCTTATGAAGATGCTGTTGCAGTTCACGTTGTAATGGAATTGTGCGCTGGAGGTGAACTTTTCGAGAGGATAGTCAAGAGAGGACATTATTCTGAAAGACAAGCCGCCCAACTTACAAGGACTATATTTGGAGTTGTAGAAGCTTGTCATTCTTTAGGAGTTATGCATAGAGACCTTAAGCCTGAGAATTTTCTTTTTATTAATGATGAAGAAGATTCGCCTCTCAAAGCAATTGATTTTGGATTATCAGTTTTCTTCAGGCCTGGTAGATTCTTTTGTTGGTGAATTATAATTCTGATAGCATGGGTTTTGAATTCTGGAATTTTTAACTCAAAATAAGTTGTGATTTGCAGGAGAAAGTTTCAGTGACGTTGTTGGAAGCCCATACTATGTTGCGCCTGAAGTTCTAAAAAAGCGTTATGGTCCTGAAGCAGACGTTTGGAGTGCAGGAGTCGTGGTTTACATTCTCTTAAGTGGGGTTCCCCCATTTTGGGCTGGTAAGAGCTTTTGGAAATCCATGGCTCTAAACACTTCTGATTCTATCTATAAATTTCAAGAACTCTTAATCAGAAAATTGCCTAATTAGTCTAGTCCATACATTGTTTCAGAATCTGAGCAGGGCATATTCGATCAAGTACTGAAGGGTGATTTGGATTTCACATCAGAGCCATGGCCTAAAATCTCTGAAAGTGCCAAGGATTTAGTTAGAAGAATGCTTGTGAGAGACCCAAAAAAGCGAATTACAGCCCATGAAGTTCTCTGTAAGTTATTATAATTTACTAAGTCTCAGCTTGGCATTGACCTTTTAAAACTGTGTTAATTAGCAACAATTATTATTAATGTAGGTCACCCTTGGGTTCGAGAAGATGGGGTGGCTCCAGATAAGCCTCTTGATCCTGCAATCTTAAGCAGGTTAAAACATTTTTCTGCAATGTACAAGCTAAAGAAAATGGCCCTTAGGGTAATTTTTCATCTCTTATATTTGAATTTCTATTCACTTATAAAAATAAATAATTCTTCGTCTTAACTTTAGCTCTACTGCTTTTAGATTATTGCAGAGAACCTTTCTGAAGAAGAAATTGCAGGATTAACAGAAATGTTTAAAACGATAGACACAGATGGTAGTGGTCAAATTACTTTTGAAGAACTCAAAGTTGGCCTCAAAAGATTTGGTGCTAATCTCAATGAGTCTGAAATTTATGATCTAATGCAAGCGGTAAGAACCATTTCAACCATCAAATTCATCCTAAAAAATTCCTCAAAACATCTCCATTAATGCTAAAAAAAAAAGTTTCAACTTCTGTTATTTTAGTACATGGGATCTTTTCAGTAAAATTAGCTGTTTTAGTAGCTGTTAACTGTTTTAGTAGCGTTTAAACGTTACAAAAATTAACCTTTAATAAAATGTTACCTTTAGGTCAAAACGGTAAAAGCTACATAAAAAGCTGTTGCCGAATATTATCATAAGATATTTCGAGACGATTAAATAGTTTTGATGCTGATCTTCTTTGTTTTGTTATGAAATTGTAGGCTGATATTGATAATAGTGGAACAATAGACTATGGGGAGTTCTTAGCAGCCACATTGCATCTAAACAAAGCTGAAAGGGAAGATCATTTATTTGCAGCCTTTTCATATTTCGACAAAGATGGAAGTGGTTATATCACTCTTGATGAGCTCCAACAAGCTTGTTTTGAATTTGGCATGGAAAATGTTCACTTAGAAGAAATGATTCGAGAAGTTGATCAAGATAATGTAAGTACTTATTTTCCTTTCTATTTCTTTTTACCATATAAAAAATATACTTAAAAGGGAATGAAACTATCAAGTTTTGAACTTTTAACCGCCAGAATCACTAAACTAGAAGGGGACGAAAATTAGGGACAATAAATATTATTTGTCTCCAAAAATCATAACCTCTTGGAGTTAGGAGACAATCTTCAAAATTGTCCCTTCTTAAGATAATAAGACACGGAGAATAATTTGAGTTTATAAGATTTAGAAGCAGCTATTACAATGGCGAGGACATGTCTTTTTTAATGATTGTGGTTGGTGTTTGTGTTTTGTTTTACAGGATGGTCGGATAGATTACAATGAGTTTGTGAACATGATGCAAAAAGGGAATCCAGAAATGGGTAAAAATGGTGTGGAAGGTAGAAATTATAGCATTGGTTTTAGGGAGGCACTTCAAGTTTGTTGACATAAAATACTAACAGTGAGGGTTTTGTTTTTTGTTATCTTTTTCTTTTTAACTTGATAGACAATTTCATTTAAGGATTATCAAGTTCTTGTAAATTAATAATTATTATAGATATGCATATTAATTTCGTTTAATGTCCAAATTTGTTTTCATAAATTTTTCAGTCGTCAACATTTTATGTATGTCAATTCTCATATCAAAGATGGGATTATCATTAGATGCCGTATAGACAGAATTTTTTATGTAATCGACACTGCTCTGATCAGTTTAATAAATGTTTAAGCCGATACAAATGATCTAGAACGTATATAAATAGTAAAACTAATGTGAAATGTATATATATAAATAGTAAAATTACTAATGAGTTTGGAAAAAACCGTTAATAAATTTGATTGCAAATATGCTATTCATTACTAATAAAAAAATAGTACTATATATTGGAATAATTATCCTAATTTTATCATAACTATTTAAAAGGTATTTTAAATGAGTTTGGAATAAATACAATGATTAAAATTTTTTTAAATGGATCAGATATGAGTATTTAAATCGGTAATAATTCAAAATTCTTCGGACTTACACTGCTTTCGTCCCTATTAATAAAAGAAAATTTTAATAGAAGTTATATAGTAATTAATGGGAAGATGAACAATAGTGGTGGTAGGTGCAGACTTTGTGTTCTCAAGGTTTCCGGTTCATTCGAATCGAGAAATGTTAAAGGAAGAGAAAATAATGGAGATCAAGATGGCTAGAAATTAAAGAACAAAAAGCTTTCATGAAAGGTTGAGCTGCAATTAATAGAAGTGAAGATCGCAATGATGAGCTTAGGTGACGAAAATGATAGAGATTTAAGTTTGAAAGAAGGATTGTAAGTGTATTTCTATCTTTTTCCAAGGTAGTTAACACAATAACGTAAAACTATAGAAAAATATAAAAATCAAGTGGTCTAGTTTTCAAGATTGGTTTCTCCTGAGGTATGGAATGTGGCAATCAGCTGGTGATCTGGCTCTTCTTCTTGTTTATGTGAGAAGTGAGAGGTCTTGAATTTGAGTCCTTTTGACCACAGTTGTTTTCACCAATTTGGTGAGTCAAGAAAAAAGTTATATCTATTGTGTAGCACATAGTGTTATTTTGACCCAAGGAGAGAAACTCCCTATAAATCAAAGTAATTTTGAAAATCATGTGAATTTATAAATACCATTCGCACCAAAAATTAAAAAGTATTTTAAAGAAAAATAAGCCAAAAGAAAATAAATGGTTGAGTTTTTTTTTGTAATTTCATATATTTTCACTAAATAAATTGAATTATAATAAAATTATTACATATGAACATTTTCACCTTTAGCAATTCTCTGTTCCATTTTTTTTTATTCTTGTAACTAAATAAAAGAGTAGAATTAGAATTCGCGTTTTTATGTTGCATTTCATTTTTTATTTTATTCTTTATTCTATTTTATTTTCTATACTAAATATAGCATAGAGAATTCACACCTAAAAGAAATATTTTCATCAACAATTATAAGTATAAAAGATCATTTAATTTAATTATGTTAAATTGCTTAGAAGCGTTGTTATAGCTAGCATAAGGGTGAATTACAACTTCATTCATCAATGAAATTTAGTCTAATTTATAATTTTCTTTTCCCTTAAGTTTGAGAATAAAAATATGAAAATGATAAATTATGGTAGTGGCTGTGGTTGATAGTGGTCATCAAGAATGATCAACGATAGGTGAAGATTAGATTACTAATGATAAGTGGACTAAAAATGTATGTTTATAAATTTGCAATAAGTTTATTAGTGTTAAAAAGTATTTTTCTCTTTTAAAAAGAGAAAATATTTGTTTGGTTCAGATGTTCGTACCAGCTGATAACGTACCAGCTGATAACGGTTAGCTTATAAATGTTCGTCTTTCATAAAATTTTGACAATAATTGTTGTTAAAATATAAAATGACTATTAAAAATATAATTATTTTTTTATATTATGACATATAATGTATATATATTAATTTAAGATGAATATATTATTTTTTATTTTAAATAATTATAAATAAAATGATCATAAAAATATTTATTTAAAAAGAAAAATAATTTTATTAGCAATTAATACGGGGTTAATGAAGTCCAAATATAATATAAATATAAATAAATAAAACTTCAAAACGTAGCTAATGGAACTAGCAGCTGATTGAGACTTAGATCAGCTATCAACGACTAACCCTATAGTGTCCATAGAACTCATTTCTTATGGAGACATCATCTCCTCTTACTAGAATATGATGTTCCCAACCTAACTCACTTAATGCTCGATCCTGCATAGCAACCCTGGAGTGGCAGAGAGCATTATGCTGAGTATCCGCTTAGCATGTCCTTCAACCGTCTTCCATCCAGCATATTAATCACACATTTATTGTCCTTAGACTTACCGCGGTATAGCTCTACAAGTATGGTGCATGTCTCACCACTACACATATATATTAATTAGTGTAAATCCATATGTGCCATAAGGAAACGTTATTTTATCTCCCCCATCACACCCCTTATATCTCCCTTATATGATCATACTAATCCATATCACTTCATACACATCCTTTTTATATTATAATAATATATTTCAATCACTCACATCTTGACATTCTCCTCCCGACAAATCGATATTCTCATCGACATGTGTTGTATTTACTCTGAGCATCCCACTTGCAAATACTTTCGTTTCCAGCTTTTTAGTGAAGAAAGTTCTACGCATATACTTGTTTTACTATCGTGAAAAAAAAGAATGCTCCTCAAGTGAAAAAAATAATTTTTCGTATTTTTGCATTGTTTCTCTTATTCTTTATTGCTCTTTTGGGAGCAACATTTTTTCACTTATCTACTATGTATCGTCATCCATCCAATCACTCGTCTTTCTGCATAAAAGATTATATTTTATACTATTAAGATTCTTTATATTAACATCATTCCTCCCCTTTTAATAATTAGGTTTCCCATATGTACTCTTCCTACTCGGACAATTGACGACCTTGTTGATTAGAGTTGTGTGCTTGGAGTATCATCTGCATTCCTCTTTTGCAATATAGTTATTCCTTCACTAATTGATTTGCTTTTGGGTTACATCCATTATTGTTTTAATCAATTATCATCTACATGAATTAGGTGAATAAAATTCTCTCAAAATAATTTAATTTTCTATTGAATTTTTCTGGGCATTTCAAATATAAAAAAGGAATTTTTTAAATTATTTTTGGAAAACAAAAACAACTTCGAAATGAGATAAGCTGATAAGGATATATTTAATGTATGGCTAAATGGGGGCAACCACAAATAATGAGTAGGAATGTGATAGAGATGCCTCATCTTATGTTTCTTTCTTTCTCTTTCGTCTTTCATTTTTCCTTTTCCATGGATATGTCAAGGATTTTGACAAATAAATCACGCTATACAATTTATGGAATCATAATTTTTTTCGAAGAAAGGTTAAATTACTTTAAACTCCTTAAAATTTAATTCGAATTATTATTTCATTTTTATTATTTATAAAAATTATTATAAACTCCCTGAAATTTATTCCGTTCAATTATTTGAATTGGAAGGGTAAAATTTAATGTGATATTTTTATTCAAATTTGGGTTTAGTTGATCTAAATTAAAAATTGTGATATGAAATTTATCCTTAAGAAATCTTTTGAACTCAATTGCATCTAGGGCCAGCCACGATTCGAGCCAACCAACCAAATAGATTGAACATAATTGATTTGGTTGATTTTTGAATTAATAGGTTCGGTTTCAAATTCAATTTGATTCGGTTCTTAAAAATCTTCAAAAGTGAGGAAAAATCGGAAAAACTAGATTGAATCAATTTAGTCCAATCCAATTCAATTTTACACATTTGCAATTCGTTTTGGTCTATTTTGAAAAAAATTCAATTTATTCGGTTCTGGCCGATTAGGTTTGATTTAAACTTTGAACTGAGGTATGTTTGCTTTAACTATTTGTGCTAGATCACAGTTGATACCTATATAATGAATGTTGATTGTTTAGTATTTAGCGGCAATTACTGTTAAAATATACTCACTCCGTCCCATTTTGTTTGCTTGTTATTCATTTTTTAGATGATCCAAAATATTTACCAGGTTTCTAAATTTAGACTTGTAATAATTGTCCCATAATAACTTTTATAATTGTTGATTGAATGAAAGATTTTTAGCATCTTAATGAGTTATTAAAGGTAAATAAGGGCAAAATAACTTTTGTTGACTAAATTTTTAATATGACTAAATTTTTAATATGCATATTTTGTCAAACCATATAAATAAAATGAGACGGAGGAAATGTAATTAATGGTAAAATTATTTCTTCCACATATATATGAATATATTATTTTTTTATTTTGATATGTTATATGATAAAATATTAATTAAATTTTTATAGTAATATTTCAATAATTATTTATTTATAAAAAATAATCATATAAAATATTAATTTAAAAAATAATTTCTGTAAGTTAATATAATACATCTAACATATAAATACGAATTAGCCGTCACCTAATTAAAAAAAAAACTTCAAAATATACCTAATTGATCAATTGTCAATTGAGAATTAAGGAGGAAAACATTAGAGGAAGTGATAATTTACTTACATCCGGACCCATATGTTTTAAATCTGTCAAATTTGGAGTGAAGATAGTGAAAATTTAACTTTTTTTTTCGGTCTTAACCACGGGTTTACCCAATTTCGGTTCATGAAAGGGTAAAGTGGTTTCAGCAAGTATTTGCCCATGAGAATCGAACCTATAAAATGGTAAAATGCTCCTAATGAGTATTAGCTCTATTTATAAGGATAGAACCCATGAAGGGGTAAAATGCTTAATGAGTATTAACTCCGTCTATGAGGATCGAACTCATAAAGAGGTAAAATATTTTTAATGAGTACTAACTCCATCTATAAGGATCAAATTCTCGATTTCACTTAAAAGAAAAAAGTGTTGTGTCATTCATCCGAACACTCATTAGTTAAATTTCACTTATTTTTATTAAATTACTAAACATCCGAAAAAACAATTTTTAGAATCACATTTTATTTGCTTCACTGTTGACAATTTGCAATAATAATATTTTATCCTTTTCAAATTTTAGTTTATCCAAATACAAAGTAAAGAATCAAAAAAATTTTCTCTTAAAAAAAATAATAATCTCTCATTATTTTCAAAACATCATTATTTTTTCCATTATTATTTTCCTTTCTAAATAAAGTGTAAATGGGGATTGAGGAGTGCCCACCCCTAACTGCGCGACTTTAAAATCAGAAGTTCAGAACTCTCAGTCTCACAAGATCCTGAAATAAGCAAAAACAACAAAATCCAAAAAGATGGGTCCCACAACGTGGAAAATGATTGGGCTTGTAAATCCAACGGCTCGGATTCTCCTTCTAACCACGGAGCGGCCATATCTTCAACGCACGTTCTGACAGCTCAGACCTCGTTGTTGGTACGTGGGTGGTGGTTGGGGCCCTCTAAGGTGAGACCAATCATGTTGCTTGGTTTGTACACGTCAGCAAAGAAGAAACACACCCACTTGTGACTTGTAACATGTCGGGACCCACAAATAGATGATAGTTTCTCACCCCACGTTGTCGAACAGTGCCTCCTGTTGTCTTCAATCATTGGTTAGATTCGTAGTTACCATAATGCCCTTGCTTGTAAAAATTGCCACTAACAAAGGATTATTATAAAAGTTGTCATTAACTAAGGATTATTAATGTTTATTTACTGTATTAACTATTTTTTTAATTTAAATTTGAATTTATTATCAAGCCGTATATATGCATTTACCATTAAGTTATATTTAACGTGCTTACAGTATTAACTATTATTATCTTAGATTCTTGGTTCATGAATTTTATATATATATATTTTTTAAAAGTTTATGAATTTTATATTTAAGAGTTAAAATTCTTTGGAGAAGAAATATTTTTTATTTCTCTCAAAAAAATAAATATATAAATAAATGAGAGAAAGCAAATATTGCTTGATGGGCCTTGGGTGCCCACCTCTAAAACAAAATGGAAGAATCAAGAAAAAAATATATAAAAATGGTGATGTAAGTGAGAAAATTGAATTGTAAAATAATTTTTGAAAAGATGGAATTTTTCTTATATATTTTCATATCTTGGAAGAATTTCTATGAAAAGTTTATACTTTATTTTATGAATGATGATGAAAACAAATGCATTTGATTAACTTATATTACATTTTATTAAATAAAGTTTTATAATCTATAGTAGTGGCAAATAGAAAAATAAAAATTCCATCTTTGAACTTTTTACCCAATAAAAAATAATGATAGAGGATTAACCTAATTAGAAGAATTAAGATTTTTTTTTTTCAAATATAGGAAAATTCCCTTTAGAGCTTAATTTAGTCATATTAGGGAAAATTTTAATTAGGTTTGAATTCATAATTTTAATCTCAAAATTTGAAACCAAATAGCCAATTTAGCAAAAGCAATTAATTGCAAATTTTCTCTCTCTCTCTCTCTCCCTCTCTCTATAGCTAGTGTGAATGGCGAGTGGAATAATTCAATATACAAAAATCTTTTTAGTAATTTATTATTATGAAAATAAATTATTAATATTTGAAGAAAATAGTATTATTTTTTTAAAAAAAGAGAAATAATCTCATATCAGTTATAAATTTTTAAATTTATTTAGAAATCTTAATTTTTTTTATAAAATAAAAAGTAATATCCTTAAACGTTTATTATTATGAAGATTTTAACTCAATTGATAATATTTGAACTAAATTAGGAATCTTTTATTTAAGAATCCTAATTTTCAAAAAGGATAAATAAATATATTAACTCAATTAAAATCTTAATACTTTATGAAATAAAATAATAGAATAATTTTAACTCAACTAGAAATATTGTATTCAATTAGAAATTTTAGTATTAAAATAAATTCAATCATAATAAAGAGTAATTCATATTTAAACTCAATTAGAAATATCAAAATTTTTAATAAAAAGAAAAGAGGTAGTGAAAAATCAAATCATTATGTTTAATTAAGAGGTGGTAATTTTTAAAAATTTAATTAAGAGGTAGCGAAAAGATTTTTTTGCGTTATTTTTTAATTTCATTTTTAATTTAGATATCAAATTGAGTTAATATTAATATCAATATTATATTTTTCAACTTTTTTTCAATAATCAAAGTGTTGAGTAGGCACGAAAAATTATTTTTAAATTTATTTTTTATTCAGACATTAATTGAGTTAACATTAACATTAATAGTATTAATTTTTTTCAATTTTCTAATAATTAGTTAAAAAGTTAATAATATTATTACTTACTATTTCAAATAATAAAACCTTTTAGTTTCTTTTTTCTAATTGAGTAATGTTCTTCAGTTTCTTTCAATAATTAACTAAATATAATTAATATTGTGATTAAATATTATTTCAAATAGTAAAACTTTTCGGCTTATTTTTTAATAATTAATAATATTATTATTTATAATTTTAAAATTATTTTCCTATACTATTAAAAATTTGTAAAGTGAATATGAACAGAACCGAGTTTGCAAGGAAAATTATTTTTTTATTTTTTAAAAATTTTCATCATTCAATTTAGATATTAATTGAGTTAGCATTAATATTAATATCATTGATAATATTTTATATTTTCAAATTTTTGAATAATTAACAAAATAACTAATATTATTCAAATAATAAAACATTTCAGTTCCTTTTTCTAATAATTAATGAAATTAATAATATTATATAGTAATTCATCAATAAAAATTTCAAAGTTTTTTTTTTTTGTATAGTTTTATAAAGTTGTAATGTGGATATGAATATAAAAAAAAGTATTGAAAAATTATATATATACTAAAATGCAACCAAACCTTTCTTTATTTTTTAATTTTACATGTTTAGCCTTGTATAACTGATGCGTTGAACAATCACAACAAGTAGAGCCACGCCACAATTTGTAGCACGATCCATTAGGCAGCTGTCCATTGCTAAGCTCAAACGAGGAGTGTATTTTTTTTTTTTTTTCAATTTCAAACTTTTCTATTTTATTACAAATTTTCTTTATAAATTTCTATGAAATAAAATTATTATGTAAAATTACTTTTTATAGACTAATTATTGATATAATCTTCATCACCCGTTCTTTATAATTTGATTATTGGCATAATTTATATATTTAAAAGCTTTCCTTTCATGTACAAATAATTTTTTTTTGAAATTCAAATAAAATTAAGGATAATATTTTTTATTTTAACCATTGAAATATTTAATATTTTTGAATTTATTTAAAACTCATCTAAGAAAATATTTTAAAAAATATTCTTGAATATTTTTTTTTAAATGGAATGGAAAGCATATATTCTTAAATATTTTTAATTAGTTCATTCAAAATTACAATCATATTTAGCTCTCCATTTAAGATTTATAGTTTCTCAATTTTATTTCTAGATTAAAGGAAAATACGTTATACGATTTGGATTGGGCCTATTGAAATTAAAATAATTTTATAGGAATTTTTACTTAAAGTTTCATGTTTCTTTATATATATCGATTCAAATTATAAATTATAAATTGAAACAGAGTTTAAAATTAATTTTTATTACATAATTTATCTTTTTTATTAAAAATATTATGTATTTAATATGGTTGCAATAAATGACTTTTCATTGAAACATAGAATATACTTTTAATATGTCTGTAAATATCTTAAGTTATCTATATGAAAAAAAAAAATCTAATTAATGATTGAATGATTATAAAATAAAAATTTAAAAATAAGTTCGCTTGTTTAAAACTAAAATTTATAGGAAACTATTAATTATAAAAATTTTGAAGTCTCTCTCATGATTAATGCATTTCTTTTCTTCTTTGAGTTTTTCAAAATAATTAAGGATATTCTAGTAAATTTATTGCTAGGTTTCTCAAAATTTAATAACAAGGTAATTGAATTTTCTAGAATTGATCGAGTAAGTAATTATTGTGAAACGCTGAAATATATTAAAATTAATACTCTCTCTATTATATTTTATTTGTTTGTTTTTTTTTAAAATTTTCCAAAATATTTATAAGATTTTTAAAAATTTATATAAATAAAATTTTTTTCTCATGATAACATTTGAAGCTGTAAAACATAAATAGGAAATAAAATAAGTATTTTCATGAAATAACAATTTCTAGTTTTGGTTCAAATTTAAAGGAGGAAAAAATTCAATGAATATTAAAATTTATAAATTTTCATTAAATTCTAAAATATTTTTAAAATTGAAAAAAAGATGAATTTTAGTCATTTTATAATTTAGGCAATTATTTTAATTTTGATAATTATCGCAATAAATTTATTTTTCGTTGCAATTATAGCTTTCTTCCTGTGTCCGTTGAGAAATTGTTGATATTACTGTTAGTAGGATCCATATTTTATTGATTTTGCCAAATTTGGCAGGTAGCTAAAATTGCTAATAATTTTTAGTTTTGGTTCAAATTTGAAGGTGAAAAACTATTACATGAATGTTAAAATTTGTGAATTTTCATTGAATTCTAAAATATTTTTAAATTAAGAGTTAAGAGATACAAATTTATAAAGAGTAGAGAATAATAAAATACATTTAAATTCCAGTAGTGGCATTCAAGTAATTGTGAACACATTCCTCAATCTTATGATCCACTTCATCGAAATGCCTGTTCAACTTCATCCCCGTCTCCTCACTGCCATCTTCTCTCTCTCTCTCGTATTTCTCGAACCAGAAACAGTGACAACCTGTCACTGACTTAGCTCACATATATCAATCTTTATGCCTTTATAGACTCAGATTTTGTCACTTCTTCATTACTCTTATTTATATAAATTTCAGTGTATTATCCCATTTGCTCTGTGGTCTCTTTCAACAGTTTAAACCTCACTCCTCTGTTACTCTCCAAGGTATGCTTTTCTTTTCTGATACTAAATCTTGCATTGTATTTATCCAAAGTTGTGTAATCTTGGATTCATGAATCTTTGATTCCTTTTGGTAAGTCTTCTTTACTTGTTTTTGTGTTTTGGTTGGTGGGTTTCTTTGCTGGATTGTATTGGATCTTTCCTTGTTTGAAATTTTGGGGTAGTATTGTTTGGTTGATGAGAAATTGAGGAAAAGTTAAGGAATTTTAGTGCTGTAATCATTTTTAGTTTTGAATTTGATACCTTTTTGCTTGTTTTGTTTCTGTGTCAATTTGGTTTGCCTTCAGTTATGATTTTTTTCAGTTGATTATTTGATCTATTCTCTGTTTGGTTGTTGAGGAAGTCTGGGGAAGTCTTATCTGAATTTCGAAATTTGAAAATACGTTACTTTTCTACTTTGAATTCTGAAGTTTTCAGTTGGGATATTTTGTCATTGCTTTGTGTATCTTCACCTCTCAAATTGGCCTCTTTCCACCCTTTGTTTCTGCGTTCTAGTATGTTAGGCCTTGATTTCTTGATTTACAATAATCTTGACTGAAAATGTTTTGTTTCATTAGTTGAATATTCAATTATACTGGATCTGTATCTCTATTAGTTTGAATTAGTCTTTGATTTTTTTTGTTTTATTCTTTAAAGATTATTTCATGAGATCTCTGTTACAGGTTTAGAATACATTTTGATCTCTGCTTATTTTAGTAGCTAAAAAATTTAAAATATTGCTTGGTAAAAAAGATAGTGTACTATAATTAAGTTTTTGATGAACATTCTCCAACTCATGGCATGTATCGTTTCAAGGAATTCTTTTTAACCTAATCTTTAAACTTTTGGGCTTTTATATGGCTGCATTTGAAAATTTTGCAGTTATTTGTTGTGAGATCTTGCAAAAGGAAAAAACATATGGAGTCTGATAATGCATTTGAAGTGAAAGATGAGAGTGTCACTGAGGAAAGGCATCTTGAAGCATTAGCCATGGAACCAACGAAAGAAGAAAACAATTCACCTAATGGTCAAGGACCTAAAATTGCCAATGAAATTTCTGAAATCGTTGCAAAAGTTGAAGGTCACAATTCTTCTGATGCGGGAATTAATGTCAAAGCCAATTCGTCCACGGTATAATTTACTATGCAATGATGTTGAACCTTTATGTTGAACTAATAATATCTTGGCACTAAACATAAGCCTATTTTTCTATCCTTCTTAAGTATTGGTCTGGCTTTCTGTATGTTCAGGAATCGGCTACTCCTGCTTCAAAAAATAACAGATTGTCTAAGGATAAACCCAATGTGAAAAGCCCTGGTCCATTTTCTCTTAACCAGAAGCCATCACTTTCTCAAAGTCTTTCATTCCCAGCAAAAGGAGTTCGTCCTGATAATATGAGGAAGAGCATTGATGGACACCCAACAAAAACTATGGTCAAACATGCCCAAGAGAATGGTCAAAAAAGTAAAATCACTTCGAATGGATCAATCACTTCAGCTTTTCGCTCAACTCAAACCACTAAACGTGCATCCATTGGAGTGATCTCAAAGGAAACAAATGTTAACGGTGGTAAAGCTTTTCCTAGGAGGACTTCTTTAGATACCATGCCAAACAAACAACAGGCTACAGTAAGATGTTATGCATTTTAATTTTTTTCGCCTTAGCTTTTGCCTTTTTTTTTTTTTTTTTTTTTTTTTTTTTTGCTGTTTTTTTTTTTTTTTTTTTTGCTGAGGATTTCCTTTATCGGTCTTTGTTTTTTGTCTCCAGCCTGTAAAATCAAGTTCTTTGAGTGAATCCACCAATGGACTTCCCTCTGGAGTTCCTGAGTAAGTCATAGCCTCCATCTACTTTTTCTCTTTCATTGGTAGATCAAACAGTTGTATAATCTTTCAGCAGATATGATCTCTAAGTAACTCATACATTGTGTTTTGAATCAAATTAATATTTATTTGCAAATGAAATTCAATTTCTTTTTGGTAATTGCATTTTAGTACATAGAATTTCCGAACTCTATTCTGAAGAATAAAAAATATAAAATTCCAAATGAATTTTTTGTGGATCCAAACATATTAAGTATGAATTTCTGAACAAGCTCATACCGTTCGTCTAGTTCATGGGTTTTTCTCTCATCTGAAATCAAAAAGATATTTATGCTGCATGGATAAAATGTATCAACTCTTATGCAACTGCAGATTGTTAGCTGATCAAAATTCAGAACCTGTAACAACAACACTGCTGGGCAAAGACGATGATGACCTTCATTCAACTACTTCGTACTACTCTTATCTTAGCGTATCATTTGCTTTATAGATAATTCGTTTTGTCTGCTAATTGCTTATGGTACTAATATTATGTGCTGTTACCAGAAGTGCTACTCATTCGCGGAGAGCTAGTGGTTCTGGGTTTTCCTTCAGGTTGGAGGAACGTGCAGAAAAGCGGAAGGAGGTTATTAATGGATATTTAAATATTTTTTCAGCTATTTAATATTTTTATTCATGTGTAAAAATATCATTGTATTATGGCCTTTGTTCACCAGTTTTTTTCGAAGCTAGAAGAGAAGATCCATGCTAAGGAAATAGAAAAAAGTAACTTGCAGGCAAAGTCAAAGGTATCATTTTCTTTTTTCAACTGAAAGATTTTTCCTTTTAATCCTTCTGTTCTCTACATGAAGGATTTGAAGCTGTATTTTGCATTGTGATTTGTGGTGACATGCAGGAAAATCAGGAAGCGGAAATAAGGCAACTAAGGAAAAGTTTGAAATTTAAAGCTACACCTATGCCAAATTTCTACAAAGAACCTCCTCCAAAGGTTGAACTGAAAAAGGTAACACATCAATGAGTTTTCTGATATTCATGAACACATATGTAGGACTTTCTATTCCACCTTATAAGATTTCAGCATCTTTCTAGTTGCTAAAATATCTTCTACCCTAAAATTTCTTATAAATGCTCATTGATTTTGGGATAAATATCCTCAGTGGACGAAGAAATGGTTAAAATGAAGCTTATTTTCCCTCATAATGAACCACCATTTTTTTCTGCCACCGCTGACATTTTAAGATTTTTGAGTCTATCTGGTGATTCAGGACTTTTAAGGCCATTTAAAATGTTTCTTTTCCTTCTTGGAATTTCTGGCCAGAAAAACATGTAAGGTGTGTGCTATAATGCTGATTTCCTATAACCATATTGTCAAAAAGATTTATACTAGGTGATCATGGCAGTTGTGTCCTCAGTTTCTAGAATGTGCATATGGAATTGAGTTTTCAAATTCAGGCCTCAACTATTAGTGCCTTAGAAGCGGATTTTTCTATAATCTGGTGACAATGCATTCTTATGTTAAATGATTGGTGCATTTCGTAGCTTATTTGGCCTCTACAATTTTCTTTCTTTAGAAAGACTGAAGTAAGGGAAATGTTATTGATAGGAGGGCTGCCACTGACGCAGTAGTTTATAATGATCTGATATCATTCAAACTTGGATGGAAGAAATTGCATTTTTGGTGAAGCTTAAATTCTGAATTCAAAATGTCATAAAGTGCAAGGTTTATAGCAATTTTCCAAACTTGATATTTTGGATTATGACAAATGAACAGAATCCTAGTGCCCTTTGTTGTCTCTGAACTTCTTTCTTTTCACATAAAACACAATGGTTTTGATTATACCTTTGCAGTACCAATTGAGGCCATTGATTTTCAACATTTTATGGACATTGATTATTGTTTGCTTATTGTTGCAGATACCAACCACCCGGCCAATATCACCAAAGCTTGGAAGGAACAAGAGCTCAAATACTTCAATTAACAGTCCTGCAGAGGGTGGTGGATCTTCTCTAAGTCCACGATCTTCACAGGTTCCTCATCCTTTAAACAAAGACTTGAGCAATCCGATCAAGGGAATTCAAAGAAATGGTAACAACGACATTGTTGCTTCAAAAACACCAATCAAGAAATCACAACCTAAGCTTCAGACAAAAAGTGCTACCACAGGAGCTGAAGGAAAGACTATGAAGTCAAAAGGAAAGCCTGTAGAATCTGAGAGCCGAAACCCACAAGCATGTGCCGAAAAGGCTGAAGAGAACCATACGAGTTCTGTGAATGTTCTTACATGTGAGAACGGAAGCGATACAAATACAATGCCTGAAAACAATTCTGCTCAGGATGGTGGACTGATATTAAGTCCACCCAACCCTGAGATTATACTAGCAGAAGTCACAGTTGGAGGGTGAGAAAATGATTCTTGCATCTTAATTGTATCTATAGATTTTGATATTTGATGTTGATGTGAATAGTCTTGTTATATTTTTGAGTATGTAATTTTTTGGGGGGTGCTTGTGAAAGTAATATAAATGAATAGGTTATATCATGTAAGCGTTTATTCTTTTTTGTTAAATTCTATTGTAGTATTTAACAAAACTTGATAGTTTTATCATTCATTTTTGCTTCCATGGATTAGCGTTCAACTTTGGCTTGCACAAGTATAAGATATTAGTTGAATATGAATCTGGCGCTAAGCAAGCATGGTAGCTCATAAACTTGCTTGGATTGCTACTAATTTTGTTGCTACTATAACTTGGAGAGAGCTTCCTAATTTTCTTGATCATTCTTGTTATCTGATCCTTGTCAGAGTTGGATATATGATGTTAATTTTTTTTCTGGAGTTTATAAATGGAAAAGAAAAAAAAAGGAAAACAAGAATATCTCTATGTTGGTATTTTGATGATCCCTACTTTATTGACCGCAATTTCTGTATTTATTATCGCTTTTATTGCTGTATCTCTAGTAGATATTGATGGTATTCGTGAACTTGTTTTTGAATCTGTACTTTATAGAAACAATATTATTTCTCACCTAGGATTTTTAAAATGCATTAATTTTTTTTTCAATTTTACCCATATTTATCAGCTGTTTTGTAGCCAAATTAAAATGGGAAACTTTTAATTTTAAGAAGATAATTTTTACATTCTGCCATATATTTTTAAAAAATTAATATATTCTAATCGTTCTCTTAATTGTTGTGAAAGAATCAAGAATCGTGTTCGGCAGTAGTGTTTTGACCGGAGTCAAAATACTATATCTATCAATTAGACTGTTTGGTAATTAGTATTTATAACAGTTGTTAGAGATTAGGGACCGTTTAATGAAACCTTAAATAGCGTTTTGAATTTTATTTTTGACATTCTTATCCATTTGTTTTTTTTCCCTATACTTAAAGCTTACAATTCTACTTGCTATAACACTCCTTTAAATTTGGTATCTTGTTATTTATTTAATTTTTCTGTCTCAAATGAATATATGTCATTTTAATTATTTAATTATTTAATTTCTACTGTCTTAAAACAAGGATAAGGGCATGTTGTAAAAATTAAATAAATATGGCTCTAGGTGAGGTAAAAAATTTTCTTATCTTTTCATTTTAATTTTATAAAAAATAATCTTTTGTTATAAAAAAATTGAAATAAAAAATATGATAATAATTTAGAAAAATAAAAAATAATCTTTTGTTTATAAAAAAATTGAAAAAAATATGATAATAATTTAGAAAAGGAAAAAAAAACAACTTTATATATATATATATATATATATATATATATATATATTATATATATAATATATATAATATATATATATATATATATATATATATATATATTATCTAATTAATTAGACCATTTCATCCTAATGACCATAATTTAAAATTATCTAATTAATTAGACCATTTCATCCTATGACCATAATTTAAAATTTTAAATCGACATTCTAATATCCTTTTTTGTCACTTTAGTTTTAACAGCTAATCAAGCATTTATTTTTATCAAACACTTTTGCTTTAAATCACTATCTAAACAGCTAACATCTAACAGTTAATATAACAATTAGTATCGCCGGACAAACTCAAAATGTTACTATTAAAGTGGATAAAAGGGAGTATAATATTTTAATCAAGTCAAAATACTAAATACTATTTATTATCGAAGAAGACCAATGAATGAAACTAACAATGAGTGAACCACAAAGAAGAAAATAAAAGTTTTTACGTTTAGGATGACCAACCAATTAGATTAAATTGGAACTAAACTAAAATTGGCTATTTTTTTTTTCTAGTGTCAAAATTAGCTTGGAATTATTGACTTTGGAATTGGTTCCAAAGGGAAAAAGCCTTTGCCAAGTTTTAAAACTAAATTAAAATTAAAAATTATTTTATTTTATATTATCTTTAATTTAATTGAAGCCCAAATTTTCAAAAATGATTTATTTATAAAGTTATTTTAAATTATTTCCTTTCAAATGCATTCTAAAATTTAGTATTATGTTACTAATAAAATATTAATTGAGGTGGTTAGTAACCTCAATTCCTGTAAGAGTAAAAATATAAATTCGACGGAAGAAGTCCAAACTGGTGCCTCCACGAGCTGATCTAAGGATCGGAATCAGCAGTTGCAAGCCATGGCCTTAGCTAGGATTACATATAAATTTGCACAATGAAATGAATAAATAGAATCATTTAAAAATATCTATTTTATATACTTAATAAATTATTACATAATTATAAATTCGGCCAAACTTTGAGAGTGTAAATTTGTTAGTATTCTGTATGGAAATTTGAACCAAAACCAGAATTAATATCCCTCTTTACAATATGCTGTCTAATGAACCAAACGAAAGCTAGTGGTATTTATTTTGTGGTTTAAGCCTAACCACACGTACGGTCCAAATATGCAAAGTTAATAATACAGACAACCTAGTAAAGTTTCTATTAAATGTAATTTAGTCTGAAAAATATTTTTATTTCTTAAAAATGGAAATTAAAAACATGGAAAAAGCTAAAGTTTTAACTGAAAATCTGTTTGAAATAGCAAGAGCAAAATGATAAGAAAGAGTTTGGCCCTCCAATCCAACAATCCAAGCTCACATGACTCTTACCATATTGTTCTAGTTTATTCATGGGAAAATGTAACCTTAAAGAAACTATGAGCAACCGTTACTCGCAAAAGGTGAAGTTGATGTAATGAGTAGGTAAAAAATTAGCGTACCACAACTAAAACAATTAACAAGTTTCGTTTGCTTTGAAAGCAAGTGAAATGTTGCAAAGCAAAACCTTCTTGAAGCCTAACCTATTGCCATTTTGAGCATATGATTTGGACATCTGAATTACTAATTTATAGTTACATTTCATCCTCTTGGAATGAGATATATGACTACGCATAACATGTAATCCATAGTTGTTGACGTATAAAATGTTAATTACCCTAAATCAGATAACTTAGAGTTGTGTGCGTACACAAATAATCATTTGCATAAATTGATTTTGTAAGTGTTGAAGCAAAATAAACTATCCAAGTTAAAATAAATAAAATCTCATATTAAATTTCGCTGCAGCTGAAGATAAGTCTTATATCTGTAATTTTATTTTATTTGTTTTGTTTTTAGAAAATATTTCTATTACTTAATATTTAACATGTGTATTGCAAGTAAATCATCTGAAAATGGAATAGGAGAATGAAGTCTCAATTCCACATTCCATCATTCACTAGCATAATTAAGAAGGGAGATAGAAAAATTAATTTGCAGAGATTGTAGTTAGAGGATACCAAATTATTTAATATTTATGCTAATATGATTTTGGAAAAATATAGTAATTACAAAAAGTGCACTATTGCCCGAAAGAGAAATAATTACTTTTCTATCTAGGAATCAATAGAATAGATGGATGGACGTGGAATAATCTCCCACCCTAACCTAATCACTTGTTAGCTGTACGCAGCATGTAATTTGGTATCACGGAACCCACCTCTTTGTTTTTTTTTTTTTTTTTTTTTTTAATCAACGGGAACCACCATCTTTGTTTTTTTTTTTTTTTTTTTTTTTTTTTTTTTTTTTTTGTCTCTTGTGTTCTTCGTTATTGAAGTTTGTAATTTTATAAATGGTAATTAGAACTTTATAAATTGTAATTAACTCATTATTGCTTCTTATAAACTTGATTATTACAAAGAAAAATAAAGTGATTAATAATGTGCAGTCCAATAGTTGACAATGATAGGTTCTATTTCTCAATCTCCACACTTTCTATTTTACTTTTAATTTATTTTATTACATGGCAACAAAAGCATCAACATGAACGAAAAAAAATTTTTAATCTAATTTTGCTGTCTCAATCTCCAGAATTTTAATTTTATTTTATTATTGAAAAGACAGATACTTAATATGTGTCACAATTCACAAGAAAAAAAAAAAAAAAAAGAAAATCTTTATACGTTCAGATTCACAAGCAAAGGATGCATATGGACAGGCCAAAAAGAACACAACCCGTGACTAGAAAGATCTTAAAAAAATAAAAAAAAAAATTGACAAAGTTTTCCCTGCATACAGTGACAGTGAATCATACATTTAAGGGAAAAAAAAAAAAAAAAAAAGAAAAAGAAAAAGAAAGAAAAAAAATTAATTAACATACATTTAAGGGAAAAAAAAAAAAAAAAGAAAGAAAGAAAGAAAAAAAATTAATTAAAAAATTGATATTTAATTACAGTAATTATAACAAAATAACAACAAACTCTCTCTTTTACTGCAGGGATTCTGATAAAATCATAAAACGCCAATTGATCCCTTCTGTTTGTGATTTTATTACACATATTCTTCCTGCAATCACATTCCATAACAAAATTATTACCTTATGACAGACCAGGTAAAAATTACAAATAAAACTGTAAAAAAAAAGAGTAGAAGAAGAACACTAACCATTTTCTCTATTTTTTTCATGGTTCCATTTTTACTATTATTAAAATTTTTAGCTGTGCAGGTTCATTGACATGTACTGAAATGTGAATCCTGTCCAAAAGCTCCAGCAATTCTACAAGCTACTTCCATTAATTTCCCTGCACATGCAATTACAATTATAATTAACATTATAATATAAGTCAACTAATCACCGTCAATTTAATAAATTTCCCAAGTTAATAAAAAAGTCATTCGCTAACCACACTCTTAATATAAAATTAAGGGTCAGCTAAATAAATAAATAAATAGAAAAGACAGAGCAAATCTCATATAATAATAATAATAATAATAATAATAATAATAATAAAAGCAATTCAGTATGCAATAAGGTGTGGAATTTAATTATTGACCATATCTGTTGGCGTCCTAGTTGTGGTGGGGTAGAAGAATGTGCATCACAGCTAGCAAATTCTTGGATGCTTTTACGTTTTTCATTAAGCTTACAAATCACATGCATAGACGACTTGTCGTTCTTGTTGTCGGCGGAAAAAAGGCCATTGAATTTCTTACAAGTAATTGTGCTGTGAATTTCCTATGCCCTACATTGTTTCCTAACCCTCTTTTCATTCATGTAAAACCTATGTTGCATTTGCACCAATTCACTATTACCCACGCATCAAATTTTGAAATATTACTCCTTAAATGTTTGATGAAAGGCTGATAAAGTTAATAACTACTAAGACAACTAGGGATACGAATATAAATGAGTTGAGCCAAACTCAAAGCTCAACTCAACAGAATTTAGCTCGATTTGAGGCTCAAGTTAAACTCAATAAATTTTGAGACTAGACGAGCCTTTCGAGCCGAATATTAATAGGGTCGAGTCGAACTTTTTGGAACTATTTTTTGAGCCTAGCTGTAATTTATGCCCCTAAAGGCAGTTATTTTACTCAAACAGCTAATTTTACCCGAATAAGTCATTAGTCTATCGATCAGTGCATATATGGAACCTCCCAGTCAATAAATTCACTCTGTTAATTATATTGCCTTCCACTAAGGCTCACCAAATGAAGCCATTAACTTTAGAATTAAGAGATGATTTGCTTTCAATCCTTGATCAAAACCTAACTAATCAAAAGAAGTTCTACATTTTTCATATAACCCTCTCCACTAATTTAGTCAATGATCACATAATCCATCATTTTAATTAGAAATTAGGATCCTCCAATGCTTGACGGGCACGCTAGTTGCAGGGTTCTTGAAGATGCTTAGAGTGAGTGGTAGACAAGCTTATTATCAAAAGCTAAAAAGACTAGAATAACAAAGTGGGCATTTCTCTCTGTCCCACGACCAACACTAAATCATCACCACATAAACTAATCTATTCCTTATCAACAATTAAACTAATGTTAATCCATTATTAACCTAACCTAATCTGCACCGACACATTAAATTACCAACCCCTAATTATTAATTTCATTCTAATTAGTGCAAATTTTATATAATTAATTAATTAACTCAATGGAAGTTAATTTTACCTCTCCTTGGCTTGGCAGAAACGACCTTGACGGCGGCCGTTGGCTTTGTGACTGTCTCTTTCTCCTCTTCCGGGAACAAAACGCCGTCAACTCCCTGGACTGATATCCTTCCATCTGTATAAATGTCTGGATCGAACAAATAGGCAGACGCATCACCGGATCCGAATTTAACCGACCCATCCGCCTCCTGCGCAACCACTTTATGCGGCAATCGCAGCGTGTCGTACTTTATTTTTCCAAATCTCCTCACTGCATTGTACATACTCTCTTCCGTTTGGTATTCCGGTATGATATGGTAATAAATGATTTGCTCCGGTGCGCCGGGTTCGCTCAATTGGTCCGTCGTTAGCTTAGCCATGGCTTCGTCATTCGGTGCTAACACTGTTAGAACATATCCTTCTGAAACTAACCGTCCCATTTCAGTGGCTAGCGACGTTAAGTTCACTAAGATATCTGCCATTTCATTGTAACCGCCGTAATGTAACAGTGTTTGGATGAAGTCCTTCACCTGGCTTTCACCGTCAAATTTATGGTGAGGTCCACCAGGCCCCGGAGCTGGTGCCGGAGCCAAGGAAGGACCAGGTGCCAACGCATCATAAATAGGTAAAACCGGTGGTGCTCCAGCTGGTACCGGTGCTGCCGGTTTCTTTAAACGGTGAGTTCTTGGATCCACCTCCGGTGCGCCTTCAGGTAGAACTGCAGATATAGATCTGAGATTTCTCCTCCGGTTAAAGTCTTCTTGTACTGATTGCGGGATTAGAAGCCTCTCGATTCCATGGATAACGCCGTCGGGTCGGATGACATCATCGGGTCGGATAATTTCAGCAGAGTCAACAGCCTTTTTGCCGGAGCTTTTGCTAATTAAGCGAAGATGATCATTGCAGAGAGTAGAATGCTTGAGTGGCTTAGATTTTTCACTCGGCCATTGACTAGATCCGACCCGTTTAGGAATAATGTGGAACATTAGAAGAGTTTGAAGAGACTTGAGATTCCCGGGTTCAAGCAAGAAGCGCTTGAATTCGGGGTCAAGCTGGCGTTCCAGGGCTTCATTTCTAGGAGCAAAAATGGTAATATTGTGTTTGCCAACAGCTTCTTCAAGAGTTTGAAGAAGAAGAGCCTTCTCAACGAGTTCAGCCAACTCAGTATAATGCGAGTCGAGAAGCGCAACCAGAACGGAGTTAGAGTTGATTCCTGTATTATTAGAAGACGAAGAAGAAGAGAATTTAGAAGACGGGGTATGAGGCAATGCAGAAACAGTAATTAAAGAGAAGAGAAACAGAGAAGAAATGAAGCATAATTTGGAGACACCATAGATGTGAGGATCCATGGTGCTCGAGAAAATGTGAAAAAGATCAGAAGTTGAGAGTGTTGGTTGTGAGTTGTGTGAAGAAGAGAAAGAGAGTGAGTTAATGTGGACAAAAGGGGTGGTGGTGAGTTATGTGCTGGTTTGTGTTTTGGGTTTTGCTTAGAGAAGAGAAAAGTAGGACACAAGGAGGAAGACTTGGGAAGTAATGCAGATTGGAGACACCTATTTAGAACTATTTTTTAATAAAAATAAAAATAAAAATTAAAAAAAAGGGAGAGAGAGTAAAGACTTTGGTTTAATAGTGAGGTTAGGACAGGCTGGAAGTGGGGTTCACACGGAAGACTGAGACATGTAATCTGTTTGCCCGCTGTCATGAGCCGCATGGCTCTTTTAACCTCTTCCTAAAGACCTAAAAACTAAACTCACTGTCTCCTGTTAGTTACTTAGTTCAAGCCAACCCATAACTTTTTGTTTTTCTTACTTTTTCCTCTTTTCTTTTCTTTTCTTTTCTTTTCTTTTCTTTTTTTTTTAATGTGTCTGAAGTTGAAACTACTACATGAATTACTGACTAACATACTGTATGAAAAATTTATTACAATTTTAATAAATAGCGTGTCAGATGTCTGTCTCTCTTATTTAATCAGTTTAACATTTTGATGTATTAAATAGACTATTGGATCATTAATTTTGTGTTAAGTGTTAGAAAGTAAATGTATAATGTTTTTAAGAACTTTTTTAAGGTGAACAATGCATAAACAAAATTATGAATCATTTTTTACTTTCAAAATTCTTATCAAAATAGTTATATATATATATATATATATATACAGAAAGTTTGGATTCTCTCTGTAATGAGCTTTTTATTTTTCAACTTCTCACTTTTTTCCACGAGACTTTCTAACACAATCGTATGTGTATAATTCGTTTGTTTTATATATTTTTATCATATTTCAAGTTAGAAACTAACTTTTTTTATCATAAATTCAATATTTATGATACATAATTTTGAAAAGTAAATAATTTGATTTGTTGTATATAATATATTAAGATATCATTTAAAACGGAGAAAGGACATGACTTATTTCTTGAAGGCTAGATATAAAATAAAACTATTATAATTAATATATATGATTATCTTTTGTTAATAATAAAAATTGAAATGTGAATTTAAAAAAATATAGATCTTCAAAGTGGTTGACTAAATAAATTCGCTGGATATCAAGTAACGAACATAAATAATTTTAATAGAGAAATATGTCGCACTATCAAACATTAAAAAATAAATATCATCATCTATTTAAAAAATTCTCTACAAATTACACACATCTAAATAAAACAAAACAAATACTCCATATAAAATGAAAAAAATCACAAACTTCACACAAAATGGAGATAAATCACCAAAAAATAACCTAGATTTATGCTAAACAGACATAGCATAGGTCTGTAATTATTTAACAAAAAATATAAAAATTTGTAAAAAAAAAAAAAAAAAGAAAAATAGGAGGGATGGACTACCACAATAACAAGCATGCTTGATTTTTGTATTTTGATGGACAAAAGGACATAAAATTTGTTTACTCGTGATTTAAGAAAATTTGGCTACCAAGATTACATAAACAGTTTTTCTTTTTTGTCAGGACAAAGTAAAAAAGATGAATATAATTGAAATAAAAATTTTAAATAAATTTATTTATTATCCAAAAATATTTTTAAAAATAAAATGGAATTTAATTATTTTAATTTAGTTTAGCTTAATTTTGTACCTAAAATATTTTAATTTAGTTTAGAAACTCCCTAAACCGTAGTTTATAGTTTGACTTCAAGTTTTGTGTAAATCAAACCGTGTGCACTGCTATTTATTATACCTATATAATATTCCGATGTAAAAAATAGAAGTATTAAAATATTAATAAAATTATTATCTCCGTTCTATAATATTTGTAATATTTGAGAAAAATAACGTTTTTCAAAATATTTGTCACATTTGTGGTTTTAAAGAGTAATGAATATATTTTTTTCATATTTATTCTTTATATACGATCAATAATTATTACTTCAATGTAATGGTTTTTTTTAGAGAATTAATATTAAATTAGAGAGTTATATAGTTAATTTACTTGATAATTTATTGCAATTTAGACAAATTTAATGATTTTTTTAAAAAATATGAAATTTCAAATGTGACAAGTATTATGGAACAGATGTAATATAAGTTAGGAACTTTATAATTAATTTTAAAAATATGGGTTATTCATGTGTTAATTTGACTATTACAGACTTATTTAAAGTTTTTCTATTTTAAACCTTTTTGTATAAAATCATATTTCATTTTTTCTTAGACAGTGAAAAAAAATACTATTTTAAACGAAATCACCAAAATATTAACAGAATAAAAAATTAAATATTATATAATTAATTTTTAAAAATAGAGGTTGTCATTTATTAATTTAACTATAATTTATTATGAATTTATATTTTTTTTTTCCCAAATAGTAATAATAACAGAAGAAGGTGAATGGCGGGGCACGAAGCAGAAGCTGGAAGGAAGAATCACGTGCGTACTGTGGGCGTGGGTTTAAGTTAAAGAGGTAAGGTGGTGCGTGTCGGTGTCCCTGACAATGAATAAATGCCATTGTTTCTACGCTAAGGATTTCCTTTTTATTTTCACTAATTTCCTTTTTCTACTGACCTTTCCTTCTACGCGCGCGTTTTGGTCCGTGAGTGAGTCGCGTAGTTTTTGGTCATTTTCACCCAAAATAATATTCAAACGGCGACGTCTTGCCTGCCGGTAGATTGTTGGTCGCTATCAGCTGACTTCACCCCATGGCTAGAGTATTATTCTTTTTCCTTTTTAAATAAAAAATTAATTTTGTTTTGAAGAGTTGTTGCTAAATTAAATTAATTAAAAGTCAATTTGTTTTGTTTCGTTTTGCTGATTCTCTTTTCCTTTGAGAGGTCTACTTCATCAATATGAAATTTGTTACCGTAATTTTGCAAACGTCTAGGGTAATCATTTCTTCAATTTTAATCAAAAATTTTTATTTTAATTTATTTGAAAATTTATTTGGTTTTTATTTGTAAATTTTTTTCAATTTTCAATTATTTATAAATATAATTTGTATTTTTCTCCAATTCAAAAAATGAGACCTCTTATTTTTAAAATAATTTCATTATTATTAAATTCGATTTATTCATGTAAAACTTATATTTCATTCACAATCATTTTTTGCGTATTTAAATTTCAGATTAAAGTTAAAAATATATATTTAAAAAATGAATTACTTATTATATTCTCATCATATTTTATATTATTGTATAAATTGATTTGATTTATTTTATGTAATTATGTACTGCGGTTTATGAGTTTTATATTACGGTTTTGATGATGCTAAATGGAAAAGAGATAGAATTGAAATCGTATATTATAGAGAAGTTATCACAAAATATCTATTGCTTTTAAATATTATTATGAATTTAGCTATGAACAGAACATAGAATAAATATTTATATAACAATAAAATTAGTTTCAAATTAAGATATAATTATTGCTGTATTTATTATTAGAGATGTAATTTAGTTAATCTAAAGGCAATTATCAAATCAAAATTCTTTAATTTCAAGTCCCTTTTTATTTTAATACAATCCCAAGATTTAACTCCCTTTAACACAAGATATCATTTGCATTAAATTACAAGTCACATATCATAAATTGCTTGGAAAAAAAAAATTCCCAAAAATGAAAATTACATGAAGATGAAATTTCATCTAATGAGTATTATTCTTGGAAAAAGTTGGAATTACATGAACATCAATCAATATCATATAATAAAAGAAGGAAAATATTACTTTTTTTTTTTTTTTCTTTCTTTTAAGAAGAAGAACCAAACATTACTCAACAAATAGGAAATAGCTCAAAGGGGCCCTTCTTCTCATCGGATTCTATTTCTATGTGCTAAACAAACACAACCACATGTTGTTTCCAAAGTCATAAAATAGATTGATATTAAATGGTTTGGAGCATCTTTTGCCTATAATCATAATAATAAAGGTCACCAAATAAAAAATTGCCATTGGATTAACTAAATCAACGGTCAATGTAATTCAATGAAGTTTGATTTATTTGTAATTACTCTGACTTAAGAAAAGTGATTAGAAAATTATACAAGATTGATCCTATTAAACTTTTGAGTTTGAAAAGTACTTACTTTATATTTATCTAATAAATAATATTTATTATGAAATGTAATTTTATTATTTCAACTATATACAACATTAAATGATAAAACTCTTGCTTATTAGCCTAAAATATTGAGATAATACAATTGTATACGAAAAACAAAAAGGATTGCTTTTAATTAATTAATTAATTAATTTTTAAACTTTTATTAAAAAAAGATATTAGTTAGCAATTAGAACAATTATTGATTAGCATTATATTGACCAAAATATTAGTCCACCGACAGCTTTGTTTACCACGTTTCACACGCTTGTTCTAAACTGTTTTTTGTAGGGCGCATGGATTCTGACCATTAAGGCTTTGTTTGGATGAAAGGGAAAAAGAAAATTAAAAATAGTTAAAAATTAATTAAAATTTTTCAATCACATTAAAATTAAAATATTTTTTAAAAAGAAAATATAAAGATCACAATTTAGAGTTTTAAAAAAATAGTTATTGGCAATATGAAAAATAAAAATTTTTAATCTTTTCCATTCATCTAATTTTATGGGTTGAGGCTTTTTAAACCTCTCAAATAACTATAAAAATAGGTTCTCTTTCCCTAAAATATCTTACCAAATAACTCAATAATCTAATATTACTTTATTTTTGTCCTTAAAACCCTTCCAAAACTCTCCATCCAAACAAACCCTAAAGAAGGAACTTTTTTTAAAAAAAAAGAATTATTGGAATTGAAATTATTACATCAAGTGTGAGTGTGAAAATTTAAATTAATATAAGAAAAAAGAGTCCCTTCTAAAAAATATATATATATCAAATTAATTGTTTAATGGAGAAAATTTCTAAATGAATGCAAAAATTTCTTCTATATTGAAATCTTAGTTAGAGTAAATTGTTTGTGATTCCTAATTAATATCATAAGGAAAGAAATACTATTTTATAGACATAAATGGTTATGAAATATATTAAAATTTTAATTTAATTAAATATAAAAAATATAAGTGAATTTAAAATTAATATCATTTAAAATATAAAAAATGCATGTATCATATCTGCCAACACATATTTAAAGAATATGAGATTGGAAGATATGAGATTTGTTGACAGACAGTATCTTTAGCCATTAAATTGTTAGTGAATCAATTATTAAAGTATATATTTTCAAATAGAAACATTTTTCGTTTGTTGCCGAAATTATTATTATTATTATTATTATTATATATATGTAGAAAGAAATGAAAAGGATAAAAAAAGTGGGGAATATGAATTATTGTCCTCTTTAGTTTTAAAGGGTCCATGCTTGAAAGGCTTAAAACCAAACTCAGGTCCAAGAAAAAATTCATCCAAATACTGGGTTTAAGGGTTGATGATGGTGGGCTTTATAATCGCTCCACTTGAAGCTTGCAGCTCCAAAAGAAATCCTCCAAGAAAATACTTACTCCGTCCATTTTGTTTATATTGTTTGACAAAACATGCATATTAAGAATTTAGTCAACAAAAGTTATTTTATGTTTTTTACCCTTAACTCATTCAAAATATAAAAGTCCATCCTTTAATAAAGGATCATAAATGTTATCGTTGAAAAATAATTTTTTGTATATCTAAATTTAGAAATCTTGTAAATATTTTAAGACATTTAAACAAGGAATAAAAAGCAAACAAAATGAGTATATTTTTTATCTTTTTTAGAAGCTAGATACGATCCCCATTGCTGTTTCTCAGAAGCTAAAGTAGGCTCATCAACCAAGATATGGATGCTGTGCCGTCTGCATTTTAACAACGTCAATGGGTTCAAAGAATGGTTAAAGCAGAAAACGATGGAGCTGAAGTCACCTAAAGTTGAGATTAATCGATGATAGCTTCGTTATTATAGCATGCAAGAAACGCTTGCTTTTTCCAAAATAAACAATTGTTAGTTCCTCAAATTGTTCATCAAGTTTTAAGCTTGCCTGATTTCCAGAATAACAATATCATCTATAAGGGCGCCATTAAGGATGAACTCAAGAGAACAGCGTTCGTCTCTGAGGGCGCCATTAATGATGAACTCGAGAACAGCATTGGACTCCACCTGCAGAAGGTATTCTCAATATCAACACAGACCAAAGTTGGGGCTGGGTTAGACATGGTTATTCGTAATTCAAATGGAAAGGTGATGGCTGCAGGTGTGCGGAAAGTTCTGCTCATGGTTACTCTACAGGAAGCAAAAAACTTGCATCTTATAAAAATTCCAGTTGCATGTTCATTATTTTACAAGAAGAACTGTCTGCTGAGTATTCAAAGAGCAACGCCTACAGAAACCAGCTTTGAACCTGACATGCACGAAGTGTTGGCAGCCATTACTGTATTCTTGAAGCTCTTGCCAAAAGCAACTAGGTGCATTTCTCATCCCACCTATTTTTAATTTCTAATTTAAATATTTGGTTTCAAAAGTGGTTTTGAAACCAAAACTCAGGACTAAACCGTCTGTTTTTTATGTGCAAGTTTTTCAAAATATCCCTGTGACTCGACTTGACTCTTTCAACCGATTCAGCCATTTCAATGTTGTTTCTCAACCGATTTGACACTACTTTACCAGTACCCTCAATCCTAAACAAGTTAATAATTGTAAGAGAGAAATATATAGATATATTACAATACATAGCATTTCAAGATCAGATATATTGCTACTCATATCGTGCCACAACCAAGCCATCCAGACATAGTTCAAATACATGTTCTGTGCAGATGCCCCTTTTTCTTCTTCTTGTTTAAATGATTTTTTTTTTTTCAAGGAAAGAAATTTTTGTGTGAAACAAATTTACATACAAATATCGATTCATAAATCTGTCCAGATGGAAGCTCTTTCTCAAGATTCATCTTCCCTCTTTTATTCAGGTTCAAGCAAAAGCTCACCTCCTGGCTTGTAATACAAAGCATCTTCTCCTCATCATGTCATATTTGGAGAAATGGAGTTTACAACCTGAAAATACAAACCTAAATTTATATTAGATGTTAATGTCCTTTAAAGCATCAGTGAAAACATAGTCTAACGTTAATGTTGCATCCCAAAACATCATGCAACCAGATATATTAGCACATAATTAAAAAAATGAAAAGCAGTCTTAGAAATGTAGAAAACATCAAAATTGCTATTCATTTTGGGCACTCAGGTGTTTGTATCCATGTCCTCAATAAGACATCACTATAGTGGCATTGTCTATATGCATTCAATTATAAAATTGCAGCTATGAAAAAAAAAAATAAAAGAAAGATAAAAGCTCGAAGTAATGTTTTCAGTGGTGAAATATGGTAGCACCAATATTCCATTTGTGACTAACTGTTCAAAAAAACAAGATCTTCACCTACATCATTACGCACCTTCAAAGATGAAATGCTGAGGATAGACACCATGAAAGTCTTTAAAACTTAAGTAGAAGCTGAGCTTGTAGCACAAGAAGCCGATGTACTGCTTCCATGTAAAGGGCTCTCTCTGCGACTGTTGGCATTGCTCTGGTTGCTCCTCTCAGCAACTGAATAATCAGTTGAATAATTTGATACAGGATCTTGATTATCTCTACTATTATCTCTGGTTTCCAGGCGCTCCATCATTCGAGATACAGTTGCAAAACCAGCATTAACTTCTCTTCGGACTTCAGAACGAAGATCAGACATTGAACTGTTACGGGAGAACAGCCTCTCCTTCAACCCTCTTGTACTCCTAGAAAATGATTCTCTATATCTGGATACAATTGTTAAAGAAGAAACTAAAAATAATGAAAAAGAAAATTATACAGCGCAGCAAATACAGGAAAAAAGAGGTTGTTTTTGGAAACTGTACCTCATTGACACTGCATTAAGTCTAGATTTTAGAGACTCTGAAAATGACTGAAATTCTGATGGTCCCGCTCTGTCTTGATTTGGCAATGAAGAAGCATTACTTCTATAAACAACAAATAATAAAATATTAATGTATGTATATAAGCATGCTATGCACCAAAGTAAAAAGAGCAAATCTTACTAACAATAAAGGAAACCACAAATACCGATCATTAAAGGAAATTCCTCGATGATTGGCAGGCATGACAGTAGATCCAGATGCAGAGGAACTTTCAGCCGTTAAAACAGAAGGAAATTGTAGAGTTTGTTGTCCAATTTCATCCCCAGGAAATGTAAGTGGAGCTGATGAACTAGCTACATCAACTGTACCTGGTTCACTTCCCACTCCTACCTGAGACAGGGAGGAGGAAACATGGCCAGAAGAAGGCGCATTAGGATGAGCAGAAAATACCAAAAACTGCGGCCGACTGTTGGAAGATTGCCTATTTCTATGGCCTGCCCTCCTACCAAAGTGGTGGGACCTTCCCATGGCAGCAGCAGCAGCCAAGTGCTGGATTATACGCTCTTCAAGATCAGAATCACTTGCACCAACTGGTAACTGCATTACAATGCAAAACATTACGTCGCCCTAAGTTAGTGACTGCTGCTTGAAATGTTCAATAGCCAACTAGCAATACACAGAAAGCATACATGTTGCAGTTCAAAATCCCCAAGCATAGGATGACGGAATATAGTGGCATTTCTTGATGGAGCAGCTCTGAAGTTTCTCTCCCGCTCAACAGCCTCAAGCAATTCTTGACTGCACAGCTTGTGAATTAGATTATTCAGAAATGTAAAAGAAATAAGATTAAAAATTTAACAAGCAACATTAACAAGCAAAAGACCAACCTTGTGGGATCCTTCAGACCAATGGCCTGCAAACACATGGGACATTTAGAGCTTCTCTGGCACCTGCAAATCCAAATCTAGTGTAAAATGTGAAGGTTTTTATTTCTATTCCCATTTCATGTCACCGCTAAATCTCAACGATCCACATCAAACATTGATAACTAATAACTTAAGCAAGTTTAGAATAATTACTGTTATCATGGTTTCAAGATTCATTGACCAGGATAATTACAAAATACAACGCATTTTTAGCAAAGGATAAAGAGGATAAAAATCCTTATAAATTTACAAACTACAGTCATTATCTATTGAGCAAAACAGATATACTGATTCAGACACGGGCATCAAAAAGATTAGTGTAACTAAGACCATCCAGTTTGAGATTAAGGGTTACTTCAATTAAGTCCCAGGAAAACAATCTCCACAGTGCCAATAATGCTAAAAAAACAGGTCTATCACAGACAAGACTTGAGATTTTTATTGTTTATAGATGACAGACAAGAGAGCATTATTAACGAAGGAATCTTCAGAAAGAAGCTTAGGTTACAACTGTTGGGGTTCAATTATTAATACAAAATTTTCACAAAATAGATATGGCACTGATCGAAGGGGAAAAAAAATAGGAAACAATGCATACAAAACCAATAGAAGAGAATGAAAGAATAGCAGCATGACCAGAAAAACTGTTATTGCAGAAAACACACAAAAAACCATGCACCATCAATTATATTGCACCAGGAGCAAATTATACCACGTGGAGATAATAGATATCAAAAATAACTCATTATTATTCAGGTTAAATAATTTTTCTTTATTGTTTCAATTATCAAATTTCTTTCCCAAATCAAGAATGGTTCCTGTGTCCTCTCTCTTAATAAAAACCCACAGACTTACATGTACTCAATCCTAAGTTCCTAGAATGATATCCATTTCCTAAAGACGCATGAAAACAAAAGCACAAAATCATTTTTTACGTTCAATTTAATCTCAATGTACGTGCAGTTAACACATCAACCACAGAATGAAACTAAAAAAGAAAATACAACAAGCAAGCACACAAACAACATTAACAAACATAACAGAGGCCAAGAATGAACCATTCAATGATAATTGTCAAAAAGGATAAAGGAAGAGAATTGATACTATAATATGTCATACCATTCAAGGATGCATTGGAGATGAAACTCATGCTTGCAATTAGTAAGCTGTGGAGCAAGAGAGAGAGAGAGAGAGAGAGAGAAAAAAATCAACCATGAAACACATACCAAATATCTAGTTGTATATAAGGATGAGAAAAGGAAAGGACTATAACAGAGGGATAGAATAAACCATTACCGTTGAAGGATCGCTCTCGCAAAATTCCTCGAGGCAAATGCTGCATGCATCATCGAAAGACTCCTGAATTCCTCCTTCCACAAAAGCAGCGGCAGATGTCATATGAGTTTCAGTTTTCTTGGCCTCCTCCATCTCCGGAACCTTTGAAACACCAAAAATCCATATAAAATTCAAAATGAACTAACCTCTAATAAAACGTATCGCTCAACTGAAGGAACTAACATTTTTGGCTTATAATGCTCACAAAACGCAGCATTTTCAAGCCAAAGAATAAAAACATGCAGCAGGAAATTTTATTCTTAAATTGATAAGAAAATTGAAGATATGTTACATATCCAATGACAAGGAAAACTAGCAAAATTAATTAAATCCGTAAATGATTAAATTCTCTCCAAAATTACTAAAGCCAAGCTCCAATGAATAAAGAAATCTAAACCTCAACTGTTATCCAATATTCAGCTCCACCTAGAGCTAAAAGCATAATTACACCTTTTCAAACTCCAATAAGCATCAATGAACAAAACATCAACATTAAAAATTCAGGTAATAAAGGCAAATTACTTCCTTTACAAAGTCGTAAGAGAACCGCATACGAAATAGTTGGATTCCATTAGAAAAGCAAACCAAAAAACATGCACTTTGCTTCACATACAGGCATAAAATGTTTTGCTGGAAAAAAAAAAATATTTTTAGCTGGAATTATGGAAAAACAAATTACATCCAGATCAGAAATTTATCAATATGATTAAAAATGCATATGTCCATCAAAGACATAAAATTTGCAGTATATGAAAAGAGAGAGATAGAACAAATTAATTGGGTTTACCTCCGTTGAGAAATTGGAAAAGCTCCAGATAATGGAGTCAAGAAAGAAAGAAACTCAAGCACTGCCCATCAAATGTTGGAAAGATCAAATCTGTAACCCTTTGAAGGGAAAATGGTACTAGAGATCCATGGAAACCCTAGAATTCAGGGAAGCTTAAAATGATGATAAAGAGAAATGAGAGAGGGAGATAGAGAGAGACAAGACGTGGCAACCTTTCCCTTTAATTATGGTTTTATTTATGGGTGGGCTTTGTTTGTTTGTTTGTTTGCTGGTTGCTTCCCTTTTTTTTATTTTTTTTTATTTTATTATTTCCTGATAGGTTTTGGGTAGTACAATAATCCACCACCGCTACAGTGGCATCAACCATCAGCCATCAGTTGTTTGCCGTTCTTTTACCCACTTTAAATAATTGTATTGTTTATGGATCTTATCTTATCTCATTTCTTTTTGAAGAATATTCTGTTATCAATTAGACCCCACAATTTCTTTTGTTTATGTTTTAATCAACAAGGAATCAGACTGCATTCTGTTTGGTATTCTCCCTTATGTAACGAATAGATTTTTAATTTATTAAATTTCTTAATAAATTAAAAAGAAAATATAAAATTACAATTAGACTCTATTTTTAGACCAATTTTATATATACAATAATCTCATTATTCAAAAAGTTTTATTTGAATATTACTCTCACTTCAATATTTTTAATACATTTTTAAGTGAGGATGCCAGGAATTAAAATTAAAGGGGGCTAAAAAAATTTTAAAGAGTTAAGGGGGATGAAATTGAAAAATTTTATTATTTTAGAGGATAGATAAAAAATTTTAATATTTTATAGGTGATTTTTAAAAAAAAATTTAGGGAGGCTCTAGACCCCCTAGTTCCATCAATGCTTTTAAAATAGTATTTAGTATTTTGATAATAAAAAAAAAAAAAAAACTACATTTGCTAACGTTTCAACATGTTTTCACTTTTTTCCTTGCATTCTATAATCTTGTGAGGGTGAGCTAACTCTAAGAACTCGTCCTCAGTTCAAATTATAACTACCAACTCGTCTGCATGAGGTTGAAATCACTAGTAATTGTCTGTCAGCCATACGACGGTGAATTCATTCCTAAGTCTTGTACACATCGCTCATCACAATATGGGAGCTTTCGTGTCCGAAGTTGTTACCTTAACCGCAACGAGAGAGATGCTGAAGGCAATATTAGTGACTAGAGTGAAGTCGGAACAAGATAGCCATACCGAAAGGTGCAACTGGATCACCTTCTTTTCAGAGAAAAACAATGCTTATTGAATTTTTCGGTTTAACACTGCTTCACACCTAAAAATAAAGAAAAGAGCAATATATGAGTTAAATTTATTGATGAAAAAATCTTCTTTCTGGATGCTAAAGTTAAACAAAGCTTATGATCTTATTATCCTAAATCGGAACAAAGTGATAGGATCAGCTTTTTACGTCCCATGTCAAATTTTCCCCTTAAATTCTAACATTACCCAGCTATGTCCCTTCAGATTAAATCACAATCTCAAAAGTAAGTCCAACCAATCCTTCATGGAGTACCAACTACCAAGTATTAAAAGCATAATTTTTTAATAAATCAATAACCAATAATATATAGATAAAAAATAGATAGTTTTATTTTCTATTTATAATGTGGAACACACAATTAACATATTGATCTCTATATAAGAAGATAATTTTTTTATTTTTCATTTAGCAGTGAAATTAATATGTAGCATGAGCCAGTTATTTAATATTTTTATTATTTTTTTAATTAGTTAAATATAAACCACTCATGCTAAACTAGAAGATTTGCAAATATTTATAATCTTTTCTTAAGAGGCAATATGGGGCGCAAATGCTAATTAATTAATTAATTAATCTTATCAATATCTTATTCAATTATTGGTACAAGTTGTCTATTATGCATTTTCAATTAGATTTTTTTTAAAAAAAAAATGCAATTCATTAATAATAATATCAAGAATCACAAATAAATATATAAACCAGACATATAACTTTACTAGCTAGTAAAATTTGATGATCTTCTAACTAAACAAAAGAATTTATATTCTTTTGAATAATAAAACTAAAATTAAAAAAAAATATAATATTAGATCTTTCCACTTTGAGTTGATTTTAACAAAAGGTATAAATCTCCATAGCAGCAACTAGTCTGTTAATTGATTTGGACATCAAAATAATAACTCTTCTGGATCTTCTATAACTCGATTGTTTTGCCAATAATTTACAATATATGACGAATATAGATGAGTTCTCATCGCTATGCATAAATAGTATCATTGGAGAAACATGCCGCACTATCAGGCTCCATCGATCAAAGATCTATATCTGTAAATCAAAATCTAAAGTCTCCAACTAAATAAAATCAAATATCATAGTCTTGTTTTGTAATAAACCCTCACAAGAAGGACTACCATCACAAAGAAGGAACAAAAAAATTCAAAATATGGAGACAATCAATCATAACAAAACAAAAAGACAGATTTGTTATTGAAAATAAATTTGAGTTTATTAAAGAAAAAAAATTAAAATGAAATTTGAAATTTCAGCGGCAGCTCCAAACTAAAATTAAATTTAAAAGTAGGAGGTAGGGCTACTGCTAATAACAGTGGCAGTTTCAAACTAAAATTATAATTAAAAAACTATTTTCAATTAAAATATTAATTTGGACATTAAAATCATTTTTAATCTAACCACAAGAAAAGTGTAAGATTACTAATTAATATTCTTCTGGTAGTGGAAGGTATATCTTTTTCCATATTTGCCAAAAGTATATAATATACAAACAAATAATTGATTTTCTAGAAGATTTTATAAGATTGTTAACCAGCTATCTGGTGTGTATATATATACCCATTTTTTTATAATTTTTAAGAAATACGTATACTTCTTAAACATGATTAAAAATAAGTCTCATTAGTATAATAATTAAAGTTTAGACATTTGTCGTAAAAAAAATATAAGTATTTTTTAAGAATAATATGCAGGTAAAAATCCCTTAAGAATGGTGATTTTAAATTTTAAAATGCTAATTTAAAAAGTAAATTTATTTGAAATGTAGTTCAATTTCACTGATTTAATTGTTTGTGGATATTATTTTTATTATTATGGTTAATTAAATTAGAAAAAAAAAATATACGGTTAGTCAACAAAAATTGGAGATTGATGAGACGGGTCCACTGCCCTTTTCTAGATAATTGCCACGAATGACATGAGTACATGAGATGTCCGAGCGAACTTAGCAGTCCCTTAAAACTTGGAATTCTTATCGTATTTGTTTGATCTCAAGAGGACCATTGGCAGCCGAAGGATTACAATGACATGACAATATTTCCAAATATTAAAAACCAAAAAAGAACATCACACATGCATACATTGGGCCTATAACTCTATATACTTTCTTTTTACCAGCAAATTTTTTTTTATTTTATTTATATATATACATATATATTGTTCAAGAAAATTTTAATATATCTAACCACGAAAGTCAGTCGATAAGCTCCCTCTCACATCCAAATTTAGCATAAAAATGTCAAGATCTTTTAAATGAAAAGATATAATAAACCCAATAAATGAGTTACACAAACATCCTAAACAAAGTTCCATATAGGATTACACTAATATTGCACTAAAATAAATCAAATTTAAATAATTTACATTTATAGCAAAGCTAAACATGAAATGCAAGTGGTTATTGAGGTGAGAAATAGCAGTGAGACAACATAAAACTTTAAAGAAATTTGCGAAAAGCTTGTTGAAAACTCTAATGGTCATCGTTAGATCCAAGCCAAAATTTAATTTGCTGCCATAATCCCATTCTTTGCCAAAAAATCTGCAAACCGATTACATGCTCTATTAATGTATATGAACTCCACTTGATTCATTTGAGACATTACGAAATCAAATTTTTTGAATCTTTTCCACTAAAGTTAAGAACGTTTTTGTTTTGAAGAATCTAACAAAGAATATTTCCAAAGTCAATCAGGTATATTTAGTAAATCTAATTATGATAATTGGCACAAATAAAAATATCAACAAAATGATAATAAAAAAATGAAAGTTTTTTAAATGATAATTATCTGAAAACAAGAGAAATGAATATAAAATCCATATCCACAAGTATTTTCCAATTATTAGGAAAAGTGTTATATCAATCTATTATTATATGTGGCGACAATTGGATGGTCAAAAGGAAACCAAAAAAATCCAAGAGATTTCCTTCTAAATACGGTTGGTTAGTTTGGTGTAGGTCAGCTATCCTCCTGCCATCCTGTGTCCATTTGATGCGGGGAGAGCAAAAATTGTAGGTGTCATTTGTTGGGATACAGCCCTTTATTGTTCTGATTTAAACATTTGCAGCTGCCACGAAATTACCCAATCTCAAATAGGTCCTAGATCCTCCAAATCAATTAATATTATATCTATTTACTCACTTTTCTTTTCTATTCATTTGGAGACTCGGCAATAGTTATGATTTAGAATATTCAAATTCGAGAACTTTCACTCATTATATACGTGAAAAGACTGACCAGACTACACTTTATTGATTATTCACTTTACTTTATCAATTATATTTATATTGAAAATCTAATTTTTAAAAATAATTATAAAAAAAAGTGATGATATTTTTTTATAAATTTTGTTATCATGGAATTTTTTTTCACTTTTAAAGATCAAATAATTAAAAAAATATATAAATCCATAATTATAAAATTAAAATAGCTAACAAATCCTTATATTATATATGCTTTTTGGTACAACTAAAACACATTATTAAAAAAGAAAAATGATGACAGTTTAACCAAACTTTTTAGTAGAATAAAATGTTGGGCAACCCAATAAGGCAATAACACCAAATGCCCAAACCCATTCCCAAACAATAATCCATCTTATCTGAACTCTTATGGTGGGCTTCCTTTGGGCTTTGTGTTTTATGGGTTGAAAGTCCATTTATTAGGCCTCATAGTCCATCCAATAATGACCTTTTTTTTTTTTTTTTTTTTTTTTTTTTTATGGTGGGCTTTTCCTTTGGGCTTTTGTGTTTTTATGGGTTGAAAGTCCATTTATTAGGCTCATAGTCCCATCCAATAATGACCTTTTTTTTTTTTTTTTTTTTTTTTTTTTTTTTTCTCATAGCACTTTCTTTTAAAAACAATTTTTCACAACTTTTGGGATTTGGAAGAATTTCTTTTACACAATTGCACTTGCAACGGTCAAAAACCGCAAAAAGGAAAAAGGGAGGGATTACATAAGGGAAAGCCTGCTTATTGGGCCACAATGGATTCTAGATTTTTTTTTTTTTTTTTTTTTTTTTTTTCTCATAGCATTTCTTTTAAACAATTTCACAACTTTTGGGATTTGGAAGAATTTCTTTTACACAATTGCACTTCAACGGTCAAAACCAAAAGGAAAAAGGGAGGGATTACATAAGGGAAAGCTGCTTATTGGGCCACAATGGATTCTAAGAAAAATATATTTTCTTTTTCTTCTTTTAAATGATTTGTGGGTTGAAAAAGGTTTACAAAGACTTCTTGGCACGAATGATGAATCTCAATTTTATATCACTCACCATTGGTCCACCAATTTAATTTTTAGTGAATTGCAATTCATTTAAACATTGATTAATCATAAGCATTCATGCTCTTTGCAATTCAATAATTAATAATTCTATAATAAGTTTTTTAGAAATTAATAAAAGAGTCTTTGGTTTATTTTCTCCTAATAATCCAAACAATAAGTTTGTTGTATCAATAAAAATCTCCTCAGATTTTTTTTAATTAATAACCTCAGCTAAATTTTTAGGTTTAAATTTTTTTAATGTTCTTTATTTTCATTTTCACTTTAAAAAATTTCTAATAGTATAAGAAAAACTAATTTGAAATTTTTATTAATTATAATATTATTAGTTTTATTAATTTTAGAAAAAATTGAAAAATTTATTGTTAGGAATAATGTTAATAATATTATTAATTATCTAGTTAATTATAAAACTGAAGAACATCAAATATCATTAAATTATAAATAGAAACTGAAACGTTTTATTGGTTGAAATAATATTAATGATATTACTGATTACTTAGTTAATTATTCAAAAAATTGAAGAATATTTGTATTAATATAAATGTCGATTCATTTATTATCTAAATTAAAAAATCACAAATAAATATTTTCCTCGCCAACTCAGAATCCTCAAAATTATTCTTTTGTTGCCTATAATATGTTGATATTATGACATCTAAGCGAATATATAAAAAAATTGAAAACATTTAATATTATTAAATTATAAAAGAGAAACTGAAAAGTTTTATTATTTAAAATAATATTAATGATTTTATTAATCATTTAATTAATTACTAAAAAATTGAAGAAATATTTAATAATATGAATGATATTAAAATCAAATTAACTCAATTAATGTTTCGATTAAAAAATAACGTAAAACTATTTTTATCATCAATTCAGCACCTTAAAAGTTATTTCTTTCCCAACCTCAGCATTTTAAATATTTTGATATTGCGACGGGTAAGTAAATATCCTTATGCTTTTATATATTTATATATATATTAGAAATTTTATGAAGTATAATATTATTAATATTATTAATTATTAAAAAAAGAAACTGAAAAAGTTTTATTATTTAAAATAATATTATTAGTATTATTAATTATATAATTAATGATTGAAAAAAACTGAAGAATAAGATGAAATACATGAGTTGCGAGTTTGGTTGTTGGTAAAAGCAGGAAAATTAGGTTAAATTAGATGGTACATTGATGTTTAAGTTTAATCAATTCGAACATATAGGGTTTGTGTTCTAAACGGGGAATCTCATAAATGAAGATGTTTCTTCTAGAATTTAAATGAAGGAGTGCCATATAGTAATGAACTGTGGTGGGACTAATTTCGCTATATAGTAATGAATACTAAGCAACTAAAGTATAACATGTTCACAAGATAAATGTGCAAATATCAAATATTGAGACAGATGTGTGGTTACCCAAATAGGATAAAATTAGAATCGATCATATTAGAGAAAAGCAAGAAGTGAAAGTTGGAAATAAAACGAGACAAAAACATTTGAAATGATATGGTCATGTATTACTTAGACTTCCATACACCCGATTCGCAAATCTGATACTTTATTATTGATCATATTCGCCACTGCCATCATGTATTACATAGATCAAGAATTAATTTATATATTCTGCATATTACATTGTTTTAAAATTCCTTTTCAAAAATTTTTTTACAAAAAGTATTTTAAAATTTTTTTCTGGCTTATACTTTGTTTTGCATTGATATCAATATGATCATATTGAACTTTGAAACAAATGATTGATATAGCTAATCCTAATTATTTTGGGATTAAGGCTTAGGTTGTTGTTTGTTGTATTCTACGTGGACACTAGGCAGGCCATATGAGAATTTCCCAATACAACAAATTAACATTAAAAAAAAAGAGATATTTCAAAAAGAAATCGGATTTCTATAAACTTTATATGCAAATCCAGCTGCATGAAACATGAAAAACTACAGGAAGAAGAAAGCTACAGTTGCTACATAATTACACAAACAATACCCCAATTCAAAGGAGAAGAACTGGGTAGTACTTTACTAAGCTTGGAATATAGAAAGGACAAGTGTAATTTTGGATGTGGTGTAACATAATACAAGAGTGAAGGGGAAAAAAAAAAAAAAGAGTAAAGGGTCCCAATCACACGGGCAAGAAAAAGGACAGCTTACACGCCCTGCTCAACACAGCCTGCATTTTGAAATCTGAAGCACCTGAGAAGACCTCCCAATATTATCATTGTTTGGGACAGTGACATGTTCAAAATTACAAACTAAAAGTCTTTCCCGAGTACACTTCCCTGATCCTTCTGCCACCACTCATATGATTTCTGTAAATTTTTTTTCTATCCCTATCAACTTTGTAATACCTAAATAAAAAGGGTTGGATTTTTATAGCTTAATAGTGATTAATGTTTACATAAAAAAAAAAAAACAGTGATTAATGTTTCCTAATTAAGCTATTGTTATTAGTAAAAATAAGAAATTAAAATTTTGTAAAAATTAAGTAGAGCAACCCATTTTTCCTTTTATAATTGCCTTAAATCCGGTCTACGGAATTCTAACCATTTACTGGAAGAAAAAAAAAACAACGCGGAAAAAATTTTTAAAAAATCTCTATTGATCCATAAGGCAATGCTTTGATTAAAGGGTTCATACGATGCTCTTTGAATTATAGTAATTTTAGTTTTAGAAAGAACTTACCTACACCTTGTGTATGGTCTCACCTTTATATCAAATCAATTACAAATAGTATTTTGATCTGAATGAGTGTATCTTTTACTGTACATTAAGAAAAAAATGATAAAATTGTAACATTTTTTTATAACTTAATAGTGATTAATGTTTATTTCAAAAAAAAAATGATTAACATTTCCCATCTAAGCTATTGTTATGGGTAAAAATAAGAAATTCAAATGTCTGTAAAAACCAAGTAAAGCAATCCGATTTATGTAAACCGTACGGATCCATTAACAGATCAAATTAATGAAAGGAATTTTTTTTTTAAATGAGCATATTTTTAACCTAGAAAAAGGAAATGTTAAATTTAAATTTTTTTTTTTAGAATTGGAGAAGAATATTTAAATCTGAATCTATTATTAATGCATTTATTACTATGCTATGTCTTATTGTGCAAATAAAAAATAATTTTAAAAAAATCTCTGTTATGATCATAAGGTAATATTTTGGGTAAACGGTTCATTAGATGCTCTTTTGAATGCATGTATTTCTTGTTCTACATATCTGAAAGTAATAAAGAGAAATTATATATCATCATAAAATCTTTAATTTTCTGTGTAATTAATTTTCCATTCATAAATAATATCTCAATATATATATATATATATATATATTTGATTTCGTTACTACAAGAGAAGTCTGATAAAATCAGACTAATAGTAGTAATTAACAAAGGAAACCCAATCTTTACAATATTTCCCTTAAATCTAATCACCGGCAGCCATTTTCATGCCTGGAACTGGAAGTCTCTTTCTCTTCTCCAATAGCATCATCATGATCATCAACTGGTAATTAATACCATTAATAATTCAACAAAATTAAAAAGCAAAAATAACACCATACCCATCAAAAACAATTACCCTCTTTTTTCCCTTTCTTTCTTCCCCTTTTCTTCATCTATACATACAAACATAAACCCCCAAATCTATTTCCCAATCAGTTTAATCAAAGGAGGGAATTTGATTTTCCAAGAAAACAAACAAACAAACCAAAGAAAAATTCAATTAAAAGAAAGTTTTTAAATTTCATTTTTATAAAAACAAAATATTTACCAGTTGTTGGAATTAACAAGATTTGGAGGCTCTATAGACTCCTAAAGTTGTTTAGTGTTGACAACTTGAGGTGAATCTATACTGACATTACTTCTCCTTGTAGGTGGCTCTTTCTGAGAAGGACTTCTCCAAAACCCAGTACCATAAAATGTTTCCCACATCTCTTGCTCCAGCTTCATCATTGCTTCCTCTTCCTCCTCGTCCGACGACTCATCGTCGTCGGACTTCAAAATATGAAGAGAATCATGAAATCCGTTAGCGGGATGAATCTGTAACTCCGTATCATCACAACCGCAGTAGCACCGCTTTACCCGTGCCGGTAAAAGCCCTTTTTTAATCAATTGCTTTCTCCTCTTCTTCCTTAAAGCACGGCGGCAAAGTCCAGCCGGCACTTTATAAATAGTCAGATATAAAAGGTTTGCTAATCCGCATGGACAGCAACAGCAAACGGCGGCGCACTCTGCCGTCGTCCCTCCTGCGAACTCCGCAAACCGGTCCCCGTAGTATGGGTTAGAGGAAATAGAGTGGCTCTTTCGTCGCAGAAGCGGACGTCGATTGTTTGACCCCGGTGAAGACGGCGAGGGCGATGGGAATGGGATTAACGGCGAGGGAGGATGGATGAACATTTGACGAGATACGTAAGGTTGCGCCCCTTCAGGAGTGGCGGCAACGGCGGTGCCATTTTTGTCGATTTCAAAGAACATGGCGGTGGAGTTAATAAATGGTGGATCAGCAGGAAGAAAAGTCGGGTTAGTTTCGATTTTGATTAAACTTGTTGATCTTTTTAGATTCATTTGGTGATTAAAGAAAAGAACACAAAATCCAATTAATCAAAGATTGGAGAAGTAAAATAAAATATTAAATAAGAATAAATAAAAAGACCACCACGAACCTCTGTTTGTAGCGGAGGCAGCGGTGGATGAATAGCCGTGTTGGAAGAACACGGCAGATTTCCAGCCTTGTGAGAAGCTGACAGCTTATATAAGGAAGGAAGAAAGGTGTTTGTGGAAAGTCCCAAACGATTTTAGCGCTTGTTTCCTGTTGGTTTTGACTGATTCGTTTGCTTTATTTGGTAATAAGTGGTATGAAATTCAAGAAACAGCATTAATTTAGAGAGACTTTGATGCGTGGATGTAAGGTGGAGAGAGCAGAGGATGTTACAATTCATATATCTATTTTTTGGTGAAATGTCTGGGAAGGAGAGTTCATAAATAAATAAATAAATAAATAAATAAATAAAATGAAGAAAATATGTTTTTTTTTTTTAAAAAAAAACATATTTAGGGAAAGGAAAACTACAGTGCATAAGGGTAATTTTTTCTTTTTTCTTTTCTTTTTTTTTATTTGGGAGATTTCTGTTTTAAATAAATGCAGCTGAAAATTAAAATTTGTTTACCAAATTAGTTCAATCAATTTATTGCAAAGACGTGCATGCACAATCTCAAACTTTCATGCATGGTTAGCTCCACTTGTATCAGTATGCTTCCTTTCAGGATTAGAATATGATAAAAGAAATTATATATTATACTCTCTCGGGCCAAAAAGTTTCACATAGATTAACAAAGCAGTAATCACTATCCCGAATAGTACTCATCCGATTGTTGTTTTATCGAGTCAAGCTTTTTCTTTCTATATTTATTATTTATATATGACTAATAATTATTATTTTAATTTAATAATTTTTTTCACATAGATTAACAACAAGCAGTAATCACTATCCGAATAGTAACTCCCATCGATTGTTTGTTTTTAATCGAGTCAAGCTTTTTCTTTCTATATTTATTATTTATATATGACTAAAATTAATTATTATTTTACATTTAATAATTTTTTAAAAAAATTATATTATTAAAGTAATATAATCATATAATCAATTTACTTAATAATTTATTATATTTTAGATAAATTTAATAATTTTTTTAAAAAACGTGAAATTTCAAATATGATAAATATTATGAAATAGAGAGGAATAATAAGATTTTCTATCCTAATTTTAGTGAAAGTTTAGAAATTCTAAAATATCTTTAGTCATTGCGTAATTGATAATAGTTTGTGTTTATTAAATACCTTGAGTTTTTAAAAAATTAATAAATCAAAAATTTTTAAATATTGTATTAATTATTATTTTAATATTATTATTCTAATTAAATTTCAATAATTGATTATTTACTATACTAACTGTTTCAAAAAAACAGATTACTATTTTAATTTTAAAATAAACTTCAAAATGCCAAAAATATAAAAATATTATTTCACAATTAATTCAGAACATAATTAATTTATTAATTCATCTAGTAAATTTTAATAAATATTTATTAGTTCATTTAACCTAATCTATTTAATTTATTTATTTTAACTTATCAAAAAATATGTATTTAATTTATATATTTTAAAATTGTAAATAAATAATAATATATTAAAATTACTCAATACAAGTATATGTGTGTTTATTATTATGTTATTTATTATTCGTTATTCCTTTTTTAATTTTGTGTAAAACTGAATAGAACGCTAAAAATCCAATTCATCATAGTTGATTGTTTTTTAATCAAATGCTTTTAATGCTTTTTTTTTTTTTTTTAAGAAATCGATGCTTAACTAAGTCTAAACTTGTCATTTAAAAAAAAAAAAATTGAACGTCTAATTTTATAATAATAAATAATTTTTTATTTTATCGTCTATAATTAAATTTTATTAATATGTTTTGGTTTTTAATATTTTCCCTATTTTTTTTTTTTTTTTTTAAGAAATCGATGCTAACTAAGTCTAAACTTGTCATTTTAAAAAAAAAAATTGAAGTCTAATTTTATAATAATAATAATTTTTTTATTTTATCGTCTATAATTATTTTATTAAATATGTTTGGTTTTTAATATTTTCCTATCATATTAAAATTAGTTTAAGAGAAATATTATCCGCTTATAATATGGATATTATTTAAATAGAGATAAATTTTAATTTAAAATTATTATACATGAAATCATGTCTTAACATTATATAAATATATAGATAATACAAGAGAAAAATTATAATCATACTTAATACTGTACAAGAATAAATTAATGAATATAAATAACGGGGTATGCCGAATAATAATAATAATGTGCAACCCATGTTATAAAAACACTAGCCTCTATAAAATAGTATTTAGCATTTGTTGTTGCCGAACATTGTCTAAATTAAATTTTTTTTAAAAAAAAAAGAATATTCACTTTGTTTATATATATGGCAGGCCAATTGACGAAAATAATGAGCGTGACCCTCCCCTTTTAATAATATTTATCAAATTGATAATAACTTTTATGCTCGAGGACTCGAATTCTAAATTTCTCACTCGCTACATTTTTTATGAAAGATAAAAAGACCGATCAACTATGTCTGATTGGCTAAAAAAATATTCACTTTGACACCACTTACAAAAAATGTTTTAGCAATTTTGTGAAATTGTGTTGATTTTTTTTTATTTTTTACATAAATAATTTTATATTATATTCAAATACTATTTTGTTTAACTTTTTTGAAAAGCAGTTGCTATGTAAACAGAATTCATGTGTGTTTTGACAGTTGATGGGTCATTATTTTCAAAATTCAATTATTTGTTATCTAACAAATCTTTGCCTGGAAATTACAACCAAGAAAATGAATTATGAAAAATAGTAAATTAAAAAAAATAATTTGGAGTTATTTCGACTAGAATTGATTGCGTGCAGGACTTCTGATATTCATATTTGCCTTACAAAATTAAATATATATTATTTCACGGATCAAATGACAGTTGGAATTATGTTTGGATCAAATTTTGTTTAGGATTCCTTACATTTTTATTAAGATTCGTTACATCACAGCTGGGTGGTGTTAACGTACTCCGCTAAAACTCATTAATTGATCCTGATTTATCCAGTAGAAGTCTTAATTAACTTAATTTAAGACAACAACTTTAACGATCTAGGTATCGGATCTTATTTTTAATGCTGAGCTGGCTTGAGTTGACTGGTACCTTTGACTACGATGGTGGGGCTGAACTCTCGAAATTTCTTACAAGTAGTGTTCCATATATTAAATTAATAAAAAAATTATTTTTTAAATATTTTTTTTTTGCCCTTTTCAGTTCATAGTTAGACGTAACGGAATTTTAACTAAAATATTATTTATAATTAGTTGTGTGTGAACCACCATCATCCATATTTATTTATTTTGAATTTCAAACTTTTATTTTGTTTAGTTGAACAAGATTTGTTTATATTCGTGTATGTATAATTCTATTTATATATTAAATTAATAAAAAATAATTTTTTAAAATATTAATATTATTTTTTATCATTGAATAGTGATTTTATTAAAAAATTATTTTTATTGATTCGATGTTAAGTGGGTGGCCCATTAAGGTAAGTCATTTTCTATTTATTTACTCGACAATTATTTCAATCCTGGCCTGGGCGCGTTAGGTATACGTATACGAAACTAGATCCTTCTAGATAAGCGCTGGATGAGAGTTACGTGGGCCCTATCTGAGGTGTTAAAATTAGACGTATGGCCTATGAGTTTGATGTGACGTGTATGGCTGCATTCAGTTGCCATGGACTTTCACTGTGCTACCACGTGTCTGGACACTGTGCAATACTATTTTTTGGTTTCCCCAAAAATTTTCATATAACTTAATAAAATAAACAATTTTTGGTCTGGGCATTGTCATTTTCACGGATCTTTTGGGCTGTCTTCGCTACGAGACAACCCATTCAAGGCTTAGACCTAATAAAAAGTTGACTGAGCTGGGCTCAAGCCGAATCGAATAAATTCGAGCTGAGCTGAATTCAAGGTTAATCAACGAGTCAAAATCAATTATATCTACATTAAAACAATATCATAATTTCATAAATTTAATTCGAGCTCGAGCTGGACTTTTATACGATTATCAAATTGGGATCGCTTCGAGCTCGAGTTTTGCTAAGTTTAAATGAGCCGAGCTCTACTTGATATATTTGTAATCCTAGTCTTCATCGTATAATTTTAGTGGCTCACATTAGAATTCATTTTGAGCCTAGCTCTATAATCAATTAATTGTAAAATGTATTTCGCTGTTTATGGATTGGATTGCTTTTAATGGACTCTTATATTATTGTAACTGATGTTGATAATATAAATTATTAATATTCTTAGTATATATTATCTAATGGTAAAAAAATTCTATACAAATTTAAAAAATTATAGCTAATATAATTAAATCATAATTTTTAAAAAAATGTTCCAAATTATTGGTCATTATAAGTTTTTTAAAATTTACCTTTATCTGTATTAAATAAAATAATTATTTTATTTAACATTTAAAGATTTAAAGTTTTTGCATGGTGATTAAAAAAAATAATTAAATCACCTAAATTTAATAAAATACACCTCAATTTGTAAATTACCTTTATCTTACTTAATTACTCAAATCTTAATAATTTTCTCCTCATTAATTTGTCACTAAAGCTAAGAGAGGGAAAATTACAAAGATAGTTAGTGTTTAGTAGAGATAAAGGTAAACTTTGAAAATTTAATTATATTTAATAATACCTTGTGAGGTACAAAATTGTGAGTATGGATGAATGTGAATGGCAAATCAATTGGAAGCTGAATAACAGACCAAAGCATCACAAAGGAAGGTACCTGTAAACACTTTGATGCTTAAGTTAGCGAAGGCTACAGAGAATAAATAAGTTTAGATAGGATTGATAAATGCATGTCCGATGCAGGACATGGGAATCCTTTATATAGAAGTCTAAAGAATTTTTTATAGGTTACTAATTAGAAATATTAGCAGTGACTGTTTAACTTTCTAACGTAGTTTCTTGTTGATCGCGGAAGAGGACTTACCTAGTAGCAATTTAGATGTTGAACCTCTATCATTTCGTGGCTTAAGATTTCTATTATAAATTTTTTTTTTCAAAATGACAACTAATTTTAGGCAAATCAAGTTTAAAAAATCGAGAAAGATACATTATTAAATATGGATAGAATAAAAACATAAAGATTACCCTTTTCTAAAATGGAAAATAGAAAGAAAAGTGAGACTATTTTTATGGAAAGAAAGAGTAAGTATTATTCCTTTTAATCCTATTAAAAATGAGACAATTTCAAATTGCACAAAGATTAAAAAGTTCATAGAGTAGTCACAATTCTAGAAAAAAAAAATCATAATTGACTATATTACCCCTCTATAAATTATTTAAATAATTAAAATTTATTTACTTTTACGTAACTTTAAATGTTAGAGTTTTAATGTTTTATAAAAAACCTCATTCAATCTCTAAAAGGTATTATAAAAGCTATATTACTGAACTATACAATTAATGGAGATAGAATTTTGATTTAGTCAAAACACAAATGCAAGAATTGACTCAATAAGTTAGGCAAGGGTAAACAACTCGACCTTTGTTGCTTGACTAAAAATTAGCTCAAAAAGTTGATTATTTAAATAACTATGATAAAAAAAATTCTTTCATGGAAATGATAAATAAAGGAATAAATATTATTTACTCCATGAGATTTGATCTTAATTATTACTCCCTTCCGTTAAATTTGATGGTTTTTTTCTATTTAAATGATATTTTAAAATTTTCGAAGTAGTATTAATTTTTTTTATTTTAATTTTACCTTCATTTAGATATTTACTTTAACTTTCTTAATTAAATGAGCATTAATTAAAGGGTAATTTAATATATTATCCTTTTTTTTTTAGAATTGATGTTATTCAATCTTTTTTAATTTTTATGAAAAGTTAAAAACCGTCAAATTTAATGGAAGAAGGAAATATTTTGTTTACTTCTAAATTTCTTTTTTTTTTTTTTTTTTTTAATTTTTATGAAAAGTTTAAAAAACCTGTCAAATTTTAATGGAAGAAGGAAATATTTTTGTTTACTTCTAAATTTCTTTTTTTTTTTTTTTGGTTAAGTTTTTTTTTTTTTTTTTTGGTTAAGTGTTGATGTAAGTAATTTGAGTGCTTAAATATTAATACTATATTAAATGTGAAGAATTAAATAATCAAATATATTTAAAATATTCAATAGCAATTATGACACTTTTAAATGGAATGAGTGAATAGTTTAATATAACTAAACCTTAGTGACGAATTAATATATTACCAAAAAGGAAGAATGAAGCGGTAATTATGATTAAACCTCAAGGGCTAAAGTATATTTATCCCATAAATAAATAAATAAAATCATTTATATGCAAATAAAACTTAATGTTCACACATTAAATACTCAAGTTATAAATTACTCCAAAACAAAAAAAAAAAAAAAGCTCCAAGTAGAATGAAAGTTTACTTGCATGTGCATAGTATTTCATATTCAAAATAGAGTTTTCTAATTATACTAATTTTGTATAATATGTACAAGACAACTATGTTATTGTATATTCTCAATAGAAAATAATTGGTGATTATGAATATTTGAAGGAAATTAATTAAGGATCGTCAAGGCTCAAAAACTTGTATATTGTCAATAGTGGAAGGCAAGAAACATTACATGTGTTGGTGAGAGTAGCATTATCTTGGGTCTAAGAAAGAGATGTGACAATGGCAAAAATAACCTATGACAAGAAATATGGAGTTGGCCCCTCGCAGCCACATGGGAATGTTTTTGAGGATTTTGCCTTAGCAATAGGATTGTACACTACTAGCTGTTTGTCTTGGGTTTTGTGTACAAGGACCATGATTGATTTAATTTGTCGAGTGAAGTAATATTCAGTTTCCTTGTTGTAAGGAAATATGTAAAATAGAATTTGTATTTTGAAAAATTTAATTTAGTAGTATTGAAATTTTTCTAGTGTGGAAAAAGATAGAGTTTTATTGTTTTTTATAGTAAAATATTCTTTAATTGATTATAAAAAGTGATTCAACTGATAAAACATGTTTGAGTTCAACAGGTGAGTTCAATAAGATTAGAAATGTAATTTGAAAAAAACTAATTATGGAAATGTGCAACCAAAAATATAAAATGAAATTAATTTTATACTAACTATGACTTGTCGCAATTACACTTTAATTTACATTTTTTGACATGATTCCTATAAAATCAACATCGAAAGTAATTACATTTCCAATACCATCAAACTTAGGGTTTAGGTATTTGTGGTTGAGAATAGATTTTGACAACTCAATATGGTTTACGCTGCTTGACTTTGCAGCAACATGGATGATCTTCGAAAAGCATTGATTTGGAGGAGATGTATGAGGATACATTATATATACAGGTACAAATTATTTTTCCTTATAATTAAAAGTTTAATGTTTCTAAAAAGCAATTCAAAGTTATTTCTTAATGTATCATATTGATACGACAGAATGCATATTTAAAATCATTCGAATTGAAAATTTAATCTCGGATTTTCAATATAATGCTTAAATTGATATGATATTCTTTGTAACTATTGAAAAATAAATGTAGGTACTTGTAAAAATAAGTGAATGTCAATTAATTTAACATTTCTTTTTTTTTTTTTTCTTTTGAACAATTATGGTGTGAAATGCCTAAACTCACAATGAGGTAATTTTCAAGAAAAGGATAATTTTGGATAAAGCCAAAGCCATTGATAACTCGAAGCTAAATCCTTTCCCTAAAAATGCCCAAGTTTAAATGCAAACAGTCAAAGAACACTGCAACAAAAATCATTAATTGACTTACCAAAAGTCCAACAGGCAGCATTTGAGAGTACAGGACCAGACCAGAACTAATTCAAAATTCTGGATTATAAGTAGAAGATTAAATTTACTGGGTTTTTGTCTTGAAGCCAAATGTTACATGTGGGCTTATAAGAGTTTGGACTTCTTAACTTGCATATCGATCAAATGTTTTGTGTTGCCAGATGTTTTTTTTTTTTTTTCCATGGCTATATTAATAATTATTGCCCTAATTGCACAAAATTTTGTGAAAATATAAGTAATTAGCGGTCTCTCTCCAGGACTTGTACTTATTCTGCTAGCAACTAATAATTAAATATTTATCTCATAGCATACAATATCAATAGCTATATAAGGTAAAAATTTATTCTTATTACTGTTGGAAAGAGTTTATTTGAATACCATACATGATCCAAACATAGAGACACAGTGTGTAAACTAAAAAAAATGTTAAGAATCTATAATAATCTATGAATTTACACGATGTGTGTAATTTGTGTTTTTGATTTTTTTGTGATTTATTTATTTTGGTAATCAAAAGGAGATTTAGTATATTTATATAAACTATTTAATATACATTTCACAAAATTTGGTCAATGGAAACATAAACAATGAAACCTCCCAACACAAAAACTAAATTACATAAATTTCTAGATTCTCTTGCAATCCCCATTTCAAATGTACATGTATTTGGAATGAGAGAACCTATGGAATTTCAAAATATATACACAATAGAAAAAAAAAAAAAAGAGTTCAAAAATTTACAAGTGGAACACAATTGACCCCACATCAAAATTAGGGTTTATGATAATATTACATGTTATACCCTTTAAGGGATTTGTACTCAATTATCCCTTTATACAAAATTTGCCTATTTAGAGGCATAGCCTCAAGCAATTTTGCACCACAATAACCTTGCTTATTATTATTATTATTATTATTAATCTTCAACAAGTGTTTGTTGCGATATTCTTTGTTATTTCTTGATGGCTCTATCACATCTTCTGCAAATCTCACCCTCTTCTTATTATTCCCTGGGCATGATCTCTTTGACCCTATAATTAAACACAAAGAAACCCAATTTTAATAAACAAATTAATCAAAAACGACAGAGAAAAATAAAAGAAAAGGGAAAAAAAAAAAAGAATTAAAACATACCGAATAATTCAAATTCAATCTGCTTCATGAAATCGGAGACGAGACGCTTATGCAGTTGACGAGCAATGAGAACTACACTGCCTGAAACTGCAAAAGCAGCCATGAAACCAACTCCCATTGAATTATTAGAACTAGTCATTTTCTTGATGTTACAATAAAGAAAAGAGAAGAGGGCATTTATATATATAAGTAGTTGTTGCAGGTTTTAAATGTGAAGAAGGAACAAGAGTTTGGTAATGGACGGTCTATACAAGAATATGTCTGTAATAATAATAGTTAATTGGAAAAAAAAAAAATCCAATATAGGAATTGACTATAAAATGTTCATGGATGGCCTTAAACTCGTTGATTTTTCGATTTTTTTTTCTTATTTATAGACATCCAATTATAAAATTGCGGCTCTAACTTATCCTATTTATATTTAATGTTATATATATATTTTTTTTGCATCATTTAATTTTAGATAATAAATTAAAAACTGGCAACTGGCTTTATATGTATTGCAACTAACCATTGGCCAGATCCCTCCTCCACCAGTTGCGAACTTGGTATAGTATTTAGGATTTGGCTTATGCTTTGAATTTTTCTCCCTTGTACGTAACAGCAACATAGAGTTCTTTATCATAAATAGACGGATTAGGGTTGGGAAAATGATGGAGCGAACCGCACTGGATTTGCTTACAAAAGATTGATTTTTTAGTTTAATTCAATTCAAATCGATGGATGTTTCTTTAGTTTGCTCAGTTTTATAAAAATTAATTGATTAGTTTTAAAACAGAATCGATTAAATAAAGAACTGTAAAAACTAATCGGATTGATCCAGTTTATTCAATTCGATTTGATTTGATTATGATATTTTATTTTTATTTGATTTTACTCCAAAAGGTTAGGTTCTTCAAGTTGTTTTTTTTTTTTTTTTCACCTGGATTTTTACTCCAAAAAGGTTAGGTTCTTGTCAAGTTGTTTTTTTTTTTTTTTTTTTACCTCAATTTTTTTTTTTTTTTTTTTACCTCAATTTCAAACCAAACCAAGTTTGAAATCCTAACTAACACATTATTATTCAAAGAATTTTTTTTGACTATTATTTTGGTATTAGACATTTAATACGTATACTGTTAGGCAGAGCCAGACGGTTGGTACCAAATATACAATCCATTAAAACTGTCGCCGTAAAACTAACCGCTCGCACTTCTAGAAGAGGCACTTCAAGTCTTCAACCACCTCTATAGCAGAACAGACCGGCTAATGCTGACATGCATACTTGAAAACTTCAATTTGACAATTTTAGCCTCATTCTTTATTAGAAATGGCCAGTAGTGGTTCGCAACTATCTTCAATATCAAGCTGCCACGTATATACAGCATTACGAGAGATCGTCCCACTTTCATTAGGAATTATGTTGCGTGTTTTGCGAAATCGGACGGTGGAAATCCGCACTATCTATCTATCGATCGATACTATTCACGAAGGGCATGATTATTATTGTAAGAGTCAAAAATGTCCTCCTGGTGACAATCACACTAAAACATTATTAATTTAATTTAAAATTATGGATATTATGATTAATCTAGATTCTAGATTCATCAGATTTCATTTCATCTGCATAATTTAAGTTGTTTCAAGTAAACAAATCATCTATGGTATTTTCAATTATAAAATTCCAGTCGGACATTCATTTCTTGCCATTTTCTTTTTTGAAATAGCGTTTCTTATGCATTTAAAACTGGCCAAATATATAAATTATTTTTATATTTTTTTAAAAGATTTATAAGACTTTTTTTAGAAATATAATTCATTAATAATAAAATCAATTATTGCAAAATTCAATTAGACCAGACATAAAATTTATTATCATAATTAATAGAAAGTTCGCTAATCCTTTAATAACAAAAAAATTATCTATATTTTTTTGAATAATAAAACTAAAAGTAAAAGAAATAATATTTAATTTTTCCGTTTGAAGAAGACCTTGACTGGTATAAATCTTCATAATAACAACTAGTCTTTTAATTGATTTGGACTACAAAATAACTTCTCCAGATCTTATATGCTTGGATTTTTTTCCAAAAAATTATTTCATATGATATACACGGATGAGTTCATACAATTATGCGTTAATAGCATCAATTGAGGAACATGACACACTATCATGCTCCATTGTTCAAAGATACACATCAATAAAATAAGATCTAAATTCTCTAACCAAATAAAATCAAATATCATATCTTTTAATAACAAAACTTCATAAAAAATGAACTAAACCCTCACGAAAGAAAGGATAAAAGAATTTTAAATATGGAGACAAAGTAATAATAATAATAATAATAAAAATATATCTATTAAAAGAAAATAGATTTGAGTTTTTTTTATAGAGCAAAAAGAAAAAAAAAAAGAAAAATAGGGGCTTACTGCTAAATAACAGCAGTAGCCCCAAAGAAAAACTAGAGTTAGAAAGATGAGAGAGAAAAGAGGGTGAGAGAAACCCTAAAACAATCTTATAACACTTTAAATTTTATCAAAATGTATTATTCTTTTACAGTTACGGTATTTGCACTAGCAACAATAATTTTTCAGTTTTTTTATGTTTCAAAGATTGATTTCATTCGTTATTAGCATAACTTTTAAAATAATAATTTTCACATTTTTCAACTATTTAATAAGTATTTAATTACTCTAATTTTACAAGTCAAAACATTTGATAGAATAACTTTATAAATTATTATTTAATAGATACAATTTTAAATGTTGAAGTATTTAATGCATCAAAATAATGACTAAGGTATCACAAGTTTTTTCGCAAAATGCATAACGACGAATTTACGCTATGTTTGGTTTGATATTGTGACATCCTACCGAGTCGAGTCTTAGCATAGAGTCGAGTTGAGTCGAGTTGAACCAAACCCGGTTGGGGTAGAATGGGTAACACGGCGGGGATAACTCAGTGTCAATAGGGATCAGAGTTGAAGTCTAAGCAAAGTTGAACCAAAACCCGGTTGGAGAGAATGGAGAATTATATAATCGTGGACCATATCGATAATGAAAACATCAAAGGTAATTAAAAAGAGTTAGGACTATATTGACAGAAATAATTTAAAGTTGAATAGTATTACTAAAAAAAAATGTAACATGTAGAATGTAGGTTTATAATTGGGGATAAGAAGAGAATGTACACATACAATTAAGAGATAGATAGGAAGTAACGAGGACTTCACCATATTCAATTCTTTCTTCTTTTCTTCATACTTATAAAAAAAAAAAATAATAAAAAACATACTTTAAATAGAAGAATATAATTTAAAAAAAAAAATATCGCGGAAACCGCTTCGGCATGTGTCACCAACTTGCATGTTTGTCCTCTGTCAGCTGTGTGAGCGCGTGCATGTCTCGTGGTTGTGTGTCGCTTGTCTCCTTAACCTAGTTATATGTATATTGGATGAATGTGGAGTGAGGCATTCAGTGCTGCAGAACCGTCATAATTTGCTCATAAGAAAGAGGCAGATTAATTTGAACGACTATGTTAATGTTCACATAGTCCAAACCTCATAACTTGATATAAATATTAGGCTAGATAAAAAGTTGTAAAGAATTCTCGATGGGTGATATACGGAGAAGGGAGTTCGTAAGAGAGTTGAGCAAGATAGCAACTAAGAACAACTCAGCTTCTTTTGGAGTACACGGTTTGATGACTCTTGTCATTTTCCATTTCTCTTGCATGGCATTTTGTGCTGGGTCTGTGTTGCCTGTGTGCACACTCAGCAATATATCTGCTTCAGTTAGTGGTGGACTGGTAATGGCTTGGAGAAAAGCGGGAGGAAGTTGAAAAATGAGTAAAATATTGGTTTAATGTGAAATTAGGCTTTCTGGACAATTGTTACGTGCGCAGATAAACTTCATCTGATATTTGACTCCCAATAGATGAGTGGATTGGAAGTGTCATAGAAGAGTATTTGTTCTCGTGTGTGTTAGCTCTTTGACTGGGTTTGAATCATCCGCAAGATCGAAGTTAAACCAAACCCGGTTGGGGTAGAATGGGATTTTAAGTGGAGTTACTTGATTGAGAGAAAAGATCAAAGCATATGAGTGAGGATTGATTTGCATTAAAGATTAAGCTTGGGTATTAAGTGATAGCCTTTTGCTAATTAAGGTACCATTTAGAACTTTTACACAAAGTCATGAATATTCTAGAGCCTACCCGTGCATATCATTTCACTTTCCCATTTTTCATGTTTATCTTCATCTTCTTCATTTTCTTCCTTTCGCTTCTTCCACCTTCTTTTCAATTTTCATGGTAGTTAAGCCTTAACTTCAACTTTTTTTTCTATCCAAGTAAGTAAACCTTCTTTAAGTTCATAATTGAATCATTTGGTGTTATTATTTTAGAATTCATAAGGATTCTAATTTATAGGTGAAGGGAGTTCTAAGATTGTAGAGAGAAGAAGCTAAAGAAGAACTCAAGCTTTTTGGAGTACGCGCTCGCGACTTTCAAGTACGCGCTCGCGACCTTGCAAGGCGCGCTCACGACTTATGTTTTCACGCACTTTTGGATTTCTTTTTCAATGCAATTGTATTCCTTGCTTCACTTATATGCCTCCAATCACTTTAACATCAAAATACAACATGAGACCATGTATCAAAACATCATGCAAGCATACAAATGATGTGAAATCAAATAAACATTATGATTTATGAACTATGAATATGATGTTGTGTTATATTTTATGATGTTGTGTATATTTATTTGATCCATTACCAACATTCCTGCTCCACTTGAGTTGTAAAAAACCATGCTGGATGAGGCTACTGTCCAAGACATATATAGCGCAAGACTCTGCACCACCCAACAAGTGTGATACCTCGGCTACAGGCCGTTGAGTGGATATGGACTTATATGATGGCTCATAGGCAGCAAGCATACAGTATCCATCCAGTGTTTCATCCAGTTGTTTCTTATCACTTCGGTTTCAACTATGCCTTTATGGAGCCATTTCAGAATGTTCTTACATAACCATTTCATGAATCATTCGTTATTAGCAGACAGCTCTCAAAAGATATCAAGAGTCTTAAGTAGAAAGATCATTGCATATAAATGTGCTTATTATGTTAATATATCCATAATGCATATTACATGCTAAAATAATTTCGTAATCATATGTAGTGTGGCTTAATTGTTTCTTCGTTCGTTCCATCCCAACTGAACATTAATATTACGCCAGCCGAATTACGCTTGTTAAACATCGCAGAGTTATATAGGAACAACGTAGCAGAGATAAGATATAATCAAACTATGCACTCAAGTTCTATCTAGTA